TGTCCCACATATAAAGTAGAGGAAGATGGGCACGGATGTTAGCTCAGGCCAGTCTTCCTCAGCAAAAAAAAGAGGAGGATTGGCAGCAGATATTAGCTCAAGGCTAATCTTCCTCAAAAAATAAAAAAAAATTTTTTAAAATGCAGATTCCTGGACACTCCCCCATACCTCCTGAATCAGAATGTGCATTATTAATAAGTTCCCAGGGCTGCCGAAAACCTGGAGAATCTTCGTTCCAGAAATTCCTCGGAGAACTTGGTGGGAGGCTGCCTCAAGGATTTGGCGGATTCTCTGAATCTCTTATGAGCTCTAAGAATGACCAGACTTCAGACAGCATAGAAGGTGGACACTGAAATGTGCTTATAGTTCATATAGGTCTCTTGCTCAGAATCAGAAAGGTAAATGAAAGCTTTTGGGATTCAAAGAAGTAAGAAAGCAAGGAACTGAATCCGGCCCTGATCTGTTCTCATTTGGCAAAAAGGTACATATTCAAGATTAGGAGAAGTTATTCAATCTAAAACTTGGATCTGATCTTCCTTTGCTTCTTTTCATCTTTTACACAGAAGATTCTATCTATAAACACAGGATTAAACTGGAAACTAAAATTACTAAGAATCTGTTCTGTCGGGCATCGTGCCAGCTGTTTTCCACATATTTCTCATTTAATCAACCACCTGTGAGGTTTCTTTCTTTATCCCCATCTTACAGAAGAGGAAGTTTAGAGTATGAAAGATTAAGTAAACTGCTGGTTAGGTGGATTAAGTGAGCAATTAGGTAGAAAAGTTAAGTTAGATCACTAAGCAAACTGCTAGATTAAGTAAACTGCTGGTTCCAATCCCAGTTCCACTATTTACTAGTTGTGTGAGCCTTGGGGAAAGTTACTTAACCTCTCAGAGTCTCAACAGCATCACGGATAAAGCAAGGGAAACATCATCTTCCTCACCAGGTATTGAGGACCCGCGAGGAACTCAGGTACAGACAGCACTCAGCACAATGGCGGGCCCTCAGTCAGGGTTAGCAACTCTTCCCTCACCTCTCCGTTCCCTTCCAGCCTTGGCTTTTTCGTTCATTGGCTTCTTAAAAATTTTTATGAAGGGGCCGGCCACGTGGCCAAGTGGTTAAGTTCACATGTTCTGCTTCGGAGTCCCAGGGTTTCACAGGGAGGAGGAGGAGGAGGGGGAGGGGGAGGAGAAGAAGCAGAAGAAGCAGAAGCAGAAGCAGAAGCAGAAGAAGAAGAAGAAGAAGAAGAAGCAGAAGAAGAAGAAGAAGAAAAGAGATTGGCAACAGACGTTAGCTCAGTTCCAATCTTAAAAAAAAAAAAAATTTATGAAGAAGGCTGTTTGCTCAGAAGTCTGAAAAGGCCTCTGCTGCTTTAAACCACTTTAAAAGGCGTCCAGGAACACTGTTCACACTCACAGCCAGTAGCTCTTCCTTTATCCTGAGGTTCACATTCAGGAAAAAGAAGAATTCTCATCAGCCCTTGGCTTCTTTCCATCTGCAAAGAGGCTGCGATGTGAGCAGCTCAGGGAGAGCAGCCCCTCTGAGTCAGGCTTGCAGCTTCCAGCAGGTGACGTACAGAGCAGGAAGCGGCCACATCACCACCGCCAGCAGCACAGCGAGCCTGCTCCGCCGCTGGGCTTTCCCAGACGACGTCAGTGGGTAGGGAGCCAAGCGCATGGCTGCCAGGCTGCCAGAGAGTACCCGAGAGCCTCAGCTGCCTCATCAAGTTTAGCTTGTCAAGTTCCTTCCAACTGGCACAGCAAGGATCACCCCGCACGGGAAGAGGAAACGCCTTTTTTGGGAATGAGTTTTCTCATGATGATAAAATCGTATCATGATTTTGTGGCAGGTAGTGAGTATTAGTGACTCTAGCTGCAATCAGGAATGGTTTTGGTTTACAGGTTTTTTTGTTTGTTTGTTTGTTTTTTCCTGTGGGCATTGACGGGTGAGGGCAAGGAGGGGCATTTATCACGATGTTATGATTCATTCTCCTAGACTACGGTTTCATTTTATCTTTGAGTTCTAGGCTTAAGGCCAAAAAGATGTCAGAACTGTCACCCGCAGTCATATGCACGTTCCATCCAGCCTGGTCATCTGTCTTGGACAGTGGCCACAAAACAAAAGGAGCAACGATTATTCTTGATGTTAGTTAAAGTCCTTGTCCCCCTTTTAATGATCCATGGACCGCACAGACATGAATTTAAACCTTTTTTTTTAAACCTACCTTTACTAGCTTTCTTACGTGTTTTGGAATAATGACTTCCCTGGCTAGAGTACCCACCTTGGGAAACACTAATTGCATTTATCGGTCCTAAATTGATTTCTAAGTCTAGGACTTGGGAATGTAGTGAATGGACCCCCTGTCTTCCTACTCATGTTGTTCACAGCTGTACGGATTCTGCCCACACTTCTTCTCATAGCCTTGGTCTTGTCAAAAGTTCAGAAAAAAAGAAAAACAGAAGTAAAACCAGTGAGTCACTGAAGTAGTAATTAGTAAAAGTTTCTTGTGCACACACTAAAAAGACAGTTTGCAAACTGGGAGCTTTCCAACCAAAACATGGAACGAGGCTCACAGGTCGATTGTTATAAAGCTGCTGAAACAGTGTGGAGGGAGGGGTTGTTTACTCTTCACAGTGATTGGTTACAATGTTAGAATTTTCTTAAATGAAAGGGAATTGGTTAGTGGTTACCTTAGACCAATTTGGGGGAACAACATAAGTTTCACTTATGATTTTGAGAGGCATAAGCAAGAAATGATCCAGGTCAAGTTAGCTTTGCTTGTCTTGCAAAATAAAGTAAATTAAGCTTTGCCTGTATGACTAAACTGGTTTTGTCTGCTCAGGGAATTTTCAAGTCCGGTGTCCCTTTGTGTTTGATTCTAACGGTCCCTAGAAGCAGAAGTCTGACCAGCCTCTGTTTGCCAAACTGAGGAAGTTTGGCAGCCTCTGTTCCTGCCCTGCTTCCTCCACCACCTTGACTATTAACATAGGTTTTGTTGTGGGAAGCCCTTTATTAAATATACAAACAAAGCAACAGTAAGGAAAAACAACAACGAAAGCACAGAAGGACAATTGTAACATGTACTTGCCCCTGCTGAATAGTACGTATGCTCTTGGCGATCTGCCTACATGCAGAGGGAGCTGGCATCTTAGCACGACAGACTTGGAGTCTGAATTAAATAAACAGTACAGCAGAAGAAGGAAAAAACCAAGAGTCTGGTGGTCAGAACTTCTTGGATTCCACTCAACATTTTCTAACCCTTTAGGCCTCCGATTGTATCCGCACCCCTGCTCCTGCCTTGTCTATTTTTACCAATGTAAAATAGGAGTAAATGATAAATGCAGCTTATGGAAACCTTTGGCCTTAAATACTTTGAGGTCTTCCCTGAGGAGAGGTGCCTTATGTTTATTGACTACATTCCTTTTTTTTTTTTACAACCAATAATAGCACTCATTTTTATTGTTCACAATTATTGAAATAATTCACTTTGATTTGTAATCTTATTTAAGAGAACTTCCACACACTTACAAGTCCCAGGACATCTTTAGAAAGTGTGACGGTCAAGAATATGTTGTCTAAGATGGCTGAAGAATGTCATGGAGATATGAAACGAGTTCAAACCACATCATGAGTCAACGGCAATGGTATATGAGTTCAGGGGCTGGATCTGGGCTCTGGTGCACTTGACACAGCCCTCACCTTCAAAGACGACAGTCTCTGAGCCCAGGGTACACAGAAAAGGGTAGGGCGATGCTCAGTGAAACCCCTTTTTTATGTCACTTAATGATTCCACAGATTTCATGAATGGCAAGTCAGGTGAAGTTTAATTATGTTTACCTGCTTCAAAAAATTGCTATTTTTTAAAATGGCTAATCAAGACCTATGAAATTGCATATTGTTTCCTAACTCTGGAAGACACAGTGGCAGAATTCCTCCAAATTGACAGAAGAATGCAGTTATCTCTAAGAATAGTCTGCTGGAAATTCTAGTTCCCACAGTGTTTCTGTTTCCAGGAAGACTTGCTTTCTGCCTGATGCCTAATGGTCAGTGGAGTCCCTGTGGGTCCTATATACAAACCCATTAGGAATTGAGGAAGGATCTGAACTGCCGCTGAAGTGCATTTGAGCCCATGCACTACTAGTCTCCGGTTTCAGAACCATTCAGTCAGCCAGATATTTAATTTTCAGTGAGGTGGGGAAAGGGGAACCTTCCTGGGGTTGCCACGCAATAACATATATTCATAATTCCTTTTATTTGGGTTTTTAAATATAATGTTACTTTACCATTATATAGTGCTTGGCAATTTTCAAATTTTCATTTCACGCTCAAAACAGTTTCAGGAGGTAGCTGTTGTTACTCCATTTTTACAGACGAGAAACTGAGGCTTAGAAAGGTCATGTTGCTTAAGTCCAGGTCTGCCTGATTCCAAAGCGAATGTTCTTTTTTTTTTTTTTAACTTTTATTTAGAAATAACTGTAGATTCACATGAGGTTGCAAAGAAACATACAGAGAAGTCCCGTGTACACTTCCCCCAACCTCCTCCTATGTTAACATCCTACACAACTAGAGCATAATATGAAAACCAAGAAAATGACAGAGCTTAATTAGAATTCAGCACTTATACATGCGCATGTATGTGTGTAGCTCATGCAATTTTGTCATGTTCTTTTTATACATAAACTACACGGCTCTACCAATTTTAAATATGAAGTCAGATTATAGGAATGAGTAAAATGACTTTTCCTTCAACAAAACAATATCTACCAACAATTACTTAAATGACCAAACAGTTTTTCATTTCTAGCTGCAGTTAAGAAGGAAGAAGGAAGAAAGCCTACAAACCTCAGTTCTTGGGAGCACCAGTCTGTGCTACGCGCCTCTGTGGGCACATCTTCTGGAGGTGATAAGTATGAAATAGGGGGACTTGATTTATTGATAATCAGGACAGCGATATTCTGTCATGTCAGAAATTTCTATCAGCAAAAGAAAGGTGATCTTACCTTGACTTCAGATTTAGTCTCATCATCTTTCTTTTCCAGGGAGTTCAACTCTGTCTCCAGATAAGGTGCCTCAGGTGTTTTCTGAAGAGGAGCTAGAGGGACAAAGAAAACCTGGCATTAACTTAGCGATTCGGCTTATAAATAACTCAGAGCATTTAGCCAGCCTTGGACAAGCAGCTGGACTGCGCTGAGGCAGCTGGTTAAGAAAGCCAGACTGAGCTGCTGCGGTGATTTCTGAGGTGGCAGATGAAATCGGAGGTGAAGGAGAGATGCAGAAATGAAATAAGAGTCCTTGACATCAGACAGTTCACTTTCGATCTGAAGAGAAAACAGTCACACCCAACACCACATGGAACAACGAATCGCAATTCTGTAAGTATAATGTGGCCAAAACAACAGATTCCGTAATTCCCATTTTTAAGACTCAGCTAAAAGGTCACTTTCTTCATGAAGTCTTCCTTGATTTTCAAACTTCATGGTTTTTTTTTCTTCTCCCCCAAAACCCCAAGTACATAGTTGTATATTCTAGTTGTAGGTCCTTCTGGCTCTGCCATGTGGGATACCGCCTCAGCGTGGCCCAACAAGTGGTGCCAGGTCCGTGCCCAGGATCCAAACCAGTGAAACCCTGGGTCGCCCAAGCGGAGCATGTAAACTTAACCACTTGGCTAGGAGGCCGGCCCTTCATGGATTCTTTTATTCTGCTTTAGTATTTATCATTTGTACTATATAATATGCACTTGATGTGGTTCTTGGATTAAAAGACCAGATTCAATTCTAGGTACCACATTCTATTGAATATATTTTTTTTCCATTACACAGGTAATTAATTTGTGCTTATTATAGAAAATTTGAAAAATACTAAAATCTTACTATTTAAACACAACCGTTTGGTATTTTTTTTTACAATCTTCTTTAAAATGTTCTCTCTTTCTTTGTGTGCGCACACACATACACAATCATACCATGATTATGTAAAGGGATGTCCACGTCTGCCCTAGCCAGAAGGAGCTGTTGCTAATCTGATGATCTAACAGTCGGATTCCCGAACTAATGTAATCACATTTATTAGTGGATAAGATGACTGTGTGAGGAATCAGTTGGCTGAGTCAGGAGGGAAGTGGGCTGTCCTGCTCTTGCTCTCTTCTCTGTCACTCTATCTCTCTCCTCTCATTCCCGCAGGGCTCTCAGACACCTGGGAGATACCCTTCTTCAGGCTCCATGGCATTTGGTAGTAAATTAGAACTTGAGGAGGAGAAGGCTGAGCTAGGCCTTGAGGCGTTCTAAGCCAGTTGTACCAGAGGGCTGCACTGGGAGTGATGGCTACAAGTCTAATAGGTAAGTGGTACTTTGAATTCTTACTTATCACCATCACCACTCTTTCATGTATACTTCCCTTGGGAAACTCACAGGATATATGTGATTAACTTGAGACAAGATTTGAGCATTTCCAGGTCCCATGGCCAAAATACCATCCATCTAATGCCACCAATATATCACCCTGATTCTTATCTGTGGTGGACTTGATGGAGATTGACCATCTGCCTTCCAGAGGCCCCTCCCAACCCTCAGATTCTGTGAGCCAACTGAAAGCAGCTGGGGCTGTCTATGGGTTTTTCATAGAGGCCATGTGGAAATCTGTAGTAAAGTACACCATTTGTTGCCCCAGGTTATGTGAGCACTGAAGCTACTTTATAACAATGCACAATCCTTCAGGCTCCTCACTCTCTGCAGGATCTCTGTAAGCTAAGTGATTCCAGGCTTAATAACCGAATGCTAGAAATGCATCCATTGTAATTGGCTACATCCAAGTCTGAGAAACACCTGCCCTTCATACTGTGAGCACAGTGACGTTCACAGGGATGGCAGAGATGCGGGAGCCACACCAATAACATGGGACACACATTTTCAGAGTACATAATCTCTGTGCCCCAGCTTCTTTATCTGTAAAGTGGAGAATAATGGGAAAGCCTGGAGGATAGGGTTGCCATGAGGCTTTCATGAGTTAATACACACAAAGCATTTAGATCATGGTAAGCACTCAGTCCATTTTCGCTATTATGATAGCCCATGGCATTAAAAGGAATTTTTTCACATTCCTTATGAACTTCAAAGAGGTTAAATGTTGTACCCAAGACACCTAGTAACAAGAGTCAGAGGTGAGATTCTAGCTCCCATGTTAAGCTCCCCGCCCACCTTTCCTACACCATGAAATATAACAGTTTATCTTGGCACAGACTCAGTTACTAAGGAATCAGACAAATGTGTTTCAAAATCCTGTTAGTGACCTGCCTGAGTCCGTAGTCAGTGGTTACTCTCCAAAACAAGAGTGCAGGATTGTTCTGCAAAATGAGCTTGTTGCCTGACCAAGGTCAATGATACCTGTTCAGACATGATGAAGACCTGTCTATCCTAGGAGACTCATTATCTATTACGAAATCTTGCATTTGAAAAGCTGAGAAACATTATCATTCTGCTTTATTTACTTGTAACAAACATACGCCCCTTAAAATAATGAGAGAGGCAAAGCCGTAGAAGTGAACACACTTTAGTTTTGGAAAAGAGCCCTAGATGAGAGGTCAGGAGAACCAAGTCCTGTTTCCAGCCATCCAAGAAGGATGCCTCCATGAGAGTGTCTGTTCATGTGTATCTGTGGTATGTATGCATAAGTGTGTCTGAGCGTGCATGTGCACGTATGTGTGTGTTGACCATGTGTGTGTGAGTGTCTGTGCATAGAAAATTTCAGGAAAGAAACATGTACTAAACAGTTATCAAGCCTTACTTCTAAAAAAGTGCAATATATGCTGGGAGATGGGACTGTAAATTGTACTAAAAGAAGAATTACCAAAAGACCTCATGATTTTTGGATAAACAAAAACTGAAAGAATTTGTTGCAAACAGACCTGCACAATAAGAAATGCTACAGGAAGTTTTTCAGCCTGAAGAGAAATGACACAAGATGTAATTCAGATCTACAATAAAGAATAAAGAACACCAGAAATGGTGAATAGGAGGGTAAATATAAAAGAATATGTATAGTTTTCTCTTCCTTTCTCTTAATTTCTTTAAAAGATATATGACTGTTCAAAGCAAAAATTATAACACAATGTTGGGGGTTTAACGTATGTAGATGTAATATTTACGATGAGAATAGCAGAGAGGATGGGTGGGGGATATACAGAACTATCATGTTGCAAATTTCCTATATTTTACATAAAGTGCTACAATATTAACTCAAAGTAGATTGTGATAAATTAAGGATGCATATAGTAGTCCCTAGCAGAAACATCTGGGGAAAAACATAGTAAAGAGGTATGTAATCTAAAAAACCAATAGAGGAATTAAAACGAAATACAGTCATGTGTCATTTGATGGGGATACATTCTGAGAAATTCGTTGCTGGGGAATTTGTCATTGAGTGAACAGAATAGAGTATACTTACATCAGGCACGAGAGAAAATGATGTAATCAAGAGATACAGTAAACATGAGATGTAGCAGGCTGCTGCCGGTATAACATGGTATAGTGTTTTACAATAAACTTCCATTTTTTATAAATAGAGTACACTCCAAATAACCATGAAAAGTATAGTATAGTAAATGCATAAATCAGTGACATAGTCATTTATTATAATTAGCCAGTATTATGTACTGTACATAATTGTATGTGCTATACTTTCATATGGCTCACAGTGCAGTAGGTTTGTTTACACCAGGACCACCACAAACATGTGAGTAATGTGTTGTGCTATGATTACAGCTATGATGTCACTAGGCAACAGGAATTTCTCAGCTCCACTATAATCTTATGGGACCACCATTGTATATGCAGTCTGTCATTGACTGAAATGTCATTATGCAGCATACAACTGTACTAAAAAAATTTGCTGAGCCAGTCCTGATAGCCTAATGGTTAAAGTTTGGCGCTCACCATTCAGCAGCCTGGGTTCGTCTCCCTGTTGCAGAACCATACCAACCTTCCTCAAAAAAAACCAAAACCCCAATAGCCAGAGAATAAGTGAGGACAAAGCTTGGTTGCTTTAAAAAAAGGAAAAAAAAAGAAAAAGTAGGAATAGAAAGGAACATCCTCAATCTGATAAAAGGCGTTTGTGAAAAACTTACTGCTAACATCATACTTCAAGGTGAAGCATGAACTCTTTCCCTTAATATTGGGAAGACGGGGATGTCTGCTCTCACCATTTCTATTCAACATTGTGTTGGAGGCTCCACCCCTCATAAGAAGGCAAGGGGAAAAAAGACATAAAGATCAAAACAGAAGAAGGAAAACTGTCCCTATTCAGAGATGACATGATTGTATTTCTACACAGAAATATATTCCTATTGCTAGTTGTATATGGTGATTCTATTTAGTATAGGGTTAAAAAACAAATGAAATGCCGAAGGCTTTTATCTTCAAAACTACTATGTTGCCAAGAGAAATCAAAGAAGACCTAAATAAATTGAGAGTTACAATGTTTATGAATTGGAATACAAGTAAGATAACGGTTCTCCCTAAATTGACCTATATGTTCAGTGCAATCTCAATCATAATCGCAGCAGAAATTGAAAGGTGATTCTAAAATTTATACGGAAAGGAAAAGAAACTGAAATAGCCAAAATAATCTTGAAAAAAGAACAAAGTTGGAAGACTTACACTATCTGATCACGAGGTTTACTAACAGGCTATAGTACTCAAGACCACATGGATTGGTGTAAGAAATTATTATTATTTTTTTATCTTCTCAAAGAACCAACTTTAGCACTTCATTGCTAATAGAATCTAGTGGGACTTTCAAAGGTCCTTAATGGAGTGTATTTCATGCTAATATTACTTGTCATTTGTAGTATTCCTCTACTAGATTGTAAGCTTTCCTTTGCATCCAGGCATCTAGTCTTATGTAAATTTATAAGTCTTCAATGCCTGTACTGTTGCATATCTGTGGTTTGTTTTAAATAATATCTGTCAAAACAATGACCATTATGCCTCTTAAACAACCACAATCTCGACCCTCATGATTATCGATGGAACATAAAACCACAAAACTTCCTTCCCCCAAATGACCTACCCAAGGAGGAGAGTTGACTGGTTTTTGGTGACACCCACTTTGGGGAGGACTCAGGATGAGGGGCCACAGGTTGCACTGGGCGAGTTTGTCTGGCTGCCAGTTTCATCAGACTCATTTGCCTCTTGTGAAATATTTCCTGCACATCGCCCAGCTTCTGCAGGACTTTCTGGGCTTTGGCCTGCAAGAACAAGAGCAAATCATGAGCAGCTCACTCTGCACACAACCTGAGGACATGAAGCATTCCTCTTCTCCCATCTTCCCCTCCTCCCCACTCCCTAGCATCCTCAGGTGACCCTTCTCTAGGCATCCACATGCAAGTCGTTGCATGTTTCGTCGTTGCATGTTTCACGTTGTACCAGAACTGTGCTTCTATGAGTCTGTATCTCCCACTTGATTGGCAATGATTGTATCCTTCTCACTAGTGTATCTATCTCCGGTGCCTGGAACACTGTCTAGCACAGAGCAGTGCTTGGTAAATAGATGCTGAGTGGATAAATGTTCACTAAGTCATGTCTGTTAATGGTAGAAAAGGATGCCACAGGCCATGGATGAAGGACATTAGACCAACTTAGAAAACAAGAGGATTTCAAAATAAGAAATGTACCCCAAAGAAAGGCCTTGATGGAAGAAAGAGTGTAAGTGTTCTGGGGGAGAGCTAGCTAAATTCCAAAGCAGGATCAAGGAAATCACAAACGCCTGAAATAAAAAGGATACACATTTTAATGTTATTCTGTGTGACCCTTTCTCTATGTATAAGTAGGAAAGAAAGAAACTGAAGCACCAGGAGAAAAATGAAATTCACAGATGTCCACTTAACTGACAAAATGCTCTATGGCAGAGGGTCAGGAGAGAACAAAAAGCAAGCCCTGGAAGTCTTTGAGTTACATTAAGGCCTGAATTCAGCTGAACACGTAGGTTTCTTCCAGCCTTGCTTCCAGCGTGACATCCCTGTAGCTCTGGAAGGTCAAGGGAAGTGGGTAGCCTTTTCTTCATCATGCTGACTCTAACAACCATCTCCTGAATGATTTTAACCATGAAAGAAGGGACCCAGAATTAAGAAGAGCTGAACCACCATAAGCCATGCGGGGTGCTCTGAGGATGCCTAAATCCGAAAGTGGAGGCTCAGCACACACCCAGGGAGGCTGCCACATTTTGCCACTGGAAAAATAAATTTTTCTTTTTTATGCTGGACCATCATCGGCGAGAAAGAGCACAGAGCCCTGAGGCAGGACTGGGGTGTCAGCTATGGACAACACTCCCCCCACAGCCTGAGGGCTCTGTCAAGCTGACCTCTGCAACAAGATCTGGGGCTGGCCTCACTCTTTGGGGAGTCTGAGTGCAGACCTGCACTGTCCAGGACAGCAACCACTGACCACAGGAGGCTACTGAGCATCTGAAATGCCGCTGGAGTGAACTGAGCTGTGCTGTCAGTATAAAATATACCCCAGATTTTGAAGACTAAGTATGAAAAAAAGAATCCAAAATATCTTAATTTTTGAGACACATGGTATGTTGAAATAATATTTTGGACATAGGTTAAAGAAAACATTATTAAAATGGATTTTACATGTTTCTTTTCACTTTTTAAAAATGTGGCTCTCAGAAGATCTTAAATTATATATATGGCTTGCGTTATATTTCAATCGGACAGTGTCAGTCTAGACCAGGCTTTGGCAAACTTTTTCTGTAAAGGACCAAATAGTAGATAGTTCAGGCTTTGCAGACTGTCTGGTCTCTATCACAACTACTGAACTCTGCTGGTGTAGCATAGAAGCAGATAACAGATAATATATAAATGAATGAGATAAAATTTTATTTACAAAAATAGGTGGCAAGCAGCTTTGGCCCACAGATTGCAGTTGGTTGACCCCTGGACTAGATGAAGCTCAGGGTCTGTGTTTAAAGGGTCTCTTCAGAGAACGTGCCTCTGGCCTCAGTTGTATATTGGACTAGAGGTTCTGATAAGAAAGCCATGAGTCCAAGTCCCAAAAGAAACTAAATCTGCTCATGTCAGGGTAATGACAATGTCAGTTGTATTTCTGAGGGGATGGTGGTAAGACTTGGTGACCAGCCACTACCACCCAGCCCTTCCGGCCCAGTGACGAGCTTGAGGAAACTGAGACATGGGTGTTAATTGCTGCTCAAAGATCAAGAAATATGACTGAACGAATAATTGTCAGGTTGGTGATGACAAGAGTCTTCCACATATTGAGGTATACGGGGCAACTATTTGGGTTCAAAACTGATTCAGCTTGAACTAAAGAAGCCTGACTTATTACAAACATACATTGTACATCTGCTTTAACCATTAAACTAAAGAATGCACTCTACTAAGATAAGAATGCATAATTCCCCTCCTCCGCCCTACTGGTAATGCTTATTAGTCCCTTTCCCAACATTAGGGTCACATGACCTGCTAATTTGGAACTGAATACCTCTTTGAAACATTGAAGAATATGTATCCTGGGCATGTTCAATGTGTTCTTTGTTCTAAAAAAGTATAAGACTGTACTGAAAACCATGCTTCTCCAGAACACTTTCTTCCTTTCTACAAAAGGCCTTCCCAGGTTATAACCCTCACCCTGGCTCAAGTAAAACTCACCTTGTCTCTCTTATCTACAGAATGGTTATTGGTTATTTTGCATCGGCAGTGATATTCCCTGTACAGCCCTAGTGTGAGGTCAGCGCCATGTGCTAGGGCCCCACGGCTGGCTCACCACTTGGACTAGACAGGACTCAAATCACCTTTGCCCTTTTGCATCTCTCCCTTAAGATCCCGGGTGAACCCTGGAAATGGTGAGGCAATCAGAAGAGACCGTAAATTCCTAAACTCAGGCAAGGGGGAAGTTGGTGCAAGATTAACAACTTCATTCCTCCCTCTCCTCTTCCCTCTGTTTACTTGTAAATCCATTCTCCATTCCACAGTGAGGATTATCTTTCTAAAATGTAAAGCTGGGACACAAGGAAGACAGGCATGTGAAGACTGAGGGAGAGATTGGAGTAATATGTCTACAAGCTAAGGAACAGCATGGATTGCTGGCACCACCAGAAGCTAGGAGAGAGGCATGGAACAGATTCTCCCTCAGAGTCTGCAGAAGGAACTAACCCTAGCAACATTTTGATTCCAGACTTCTGGCCTCCAAAACTAATAATACAACGGATCTTTGAAGGATTCTTTGCAAATTCTGCAATTCCTGGATCCCTACACCCTTTCACCTGGAGCGGGATGCTGCACTCCAACCCTGGGGACTATGCCTGGGGTCAGACAGGGCTCGATGCCATTGTAACCCAGCTTTTAGGACAAGTGGAAAATACAGGGCCTCCCCCAGCTGACAAGGAAAAGATCACATCTCTTCCAACAGTGACAGTAACTCAGGAACAAGTTGACATGGGTTTAGAGTGTCCAGTATATAAAGAAGATTACACAGGTGAAGAGGAAGTCTGGCAGTTACCCTGCAAACACTTCTTCCACAGCAGTTGTATTGTGCCGTGGTTAGAATTGCATGACGCATGTGCTGTATGTAGGAAGAGCTTAAATGGTGAGGACTCTGCTCGGCAAACCCAGAGCTCTGAGGCCTCTGCAAGCAACAGATTTAGCGACAGCCAGCACATGACTGATGGACTTTCTGAAGCTAAAGACTGCATCTGAGCCAAGGCTGTGGTAGTCTTGTTACCGTAGCTGTAAATTGTATCAAACAAAAGATAGTAGGTGCATTTAGGAACCACATAAGAAACCCCAACCCGTGATATTAATGCAATGAGTGTTTTTCTTCTCTAAGTTTAAAGTTAGTATCTACAGATGGAATTGTGTCTACAACCAAATGCCTCTTATTCCTGAATTCAAAGTGATAATTTTAAAAGTATGAAACTAAACTATGTGGGTTCCCCCCACCAGAAAAGAATCAGTTGCTTAAAGTCTAGCTCAGGTCCTGCTAACCGTCATGTTACCTTGTAATGGATGTTTCCATCTCCTTCTCCAACCTCCACCCTACTGTTAGTGTATTTTACAGTATATACCAGAGCCCTAAAGTTCTGCTGATATAAAGTCCTTCTTTTTTCTTCTTTTTTTTTTTTTTTTGAGGAAGATTAGCCCTGAGCTAACATCTGCTGCCAATCCTCCTCTTTTTGCTGAGGAAGACTGGCCCTAAGCTAAACTCCATGCTCATCTTCCTCTACTTTATATGTGGGATGCCTACCACAGCATGGCTTGCCAAGCGGTGCCATGTCCGCACCCGGGATCTGAACTGGTGAATCCTGGGGCGCCGAAGCGGAATGTGTGCACTTAACCACTGTGCCACCAGGCCGGCCCTGTCCTTCTATTTTAATTGTACTAAAGCATCTACTCTTGGCCACATTAGCCACGAAGTGAGGTCAGATTAATTCAGGAATCTTAGACTAATGATTTTGTTTGGTCTTGAATCCTCAGAGAGCAAATCAAAGAAAACTCACAGTTGGAAGGAGAAAGTGGCTTATTATTGTAGTCTTTGGTTTTCTCATTTTAAAGACTACTTCACAGATGCAGTTTCCACAGAAACCAACATGACATGTTCTTAGGAGTTTCATGTTGGTAGGAATCCGATTCTGGTTCCTCTTTGGGAATGAGCTGGGCAGCATATGGGCGCAGAAGGACAGAGGTTTGAAATCTTTGGTTCTGAGGTTTTTTAATGATTCCCAACTCATTGTTTACTGTCTTTTGTCCTGGGGGCCTTATAATAATGTCCCTCACAGAAAGAGAATTACTTCATTATTGCTTCTACAGCCAATTCACTGTTTTCAGTATTTCACTAGTCTTCAGGAATCGAGATTTTGCATTGTCTCATTTTAATTTTTTAACTCCTTTTATCATCTCTCAAACCTTTCTGTTCTGCTTGGTTCTAGTATATTTGGAGTCAAACTGATTCTTGTGATCACACCCAAAACAGCTTGGCCTAGCAGAGGTAGGCCTTGTTTTTTCTGCCCAACAGTGTCCCACGCACATGCACATGCTCTTTGGAGCATATAAGTGTTTAAACTGGAATAAATGAAGATCAAAAATGTAAAAGCAAATAAATAAAAAATAAATAAATAAAATGTAAAGCTGATCACAGAACTTCCCTGTTGAAGAGTCCTGCCGGGGCTCCGGCTGCATCTGGATGAAGTCCTGACTGCTCATCCTGGAGCACTGGGTTCTTCCTTACCTCACCCTGATTTCCCTCCAGGCTCACCTCCCGCCAGTACCCAACACTCACACTCCAGCCTCCAGCTGTGGCCGTTCCCCTAAATGCTCTGGTTTCCAGCCTCTCTGCCTTTGCACCTTCTGTTCCTTCTGCTGAGGTCCCCTCCCTCCGCTGTCTCCCTTGAAAACTCCTACCCAAACTTCCAGACCAAATGTAGGCATCTTCTTCTATGAACACCCTGGCCTCCCCAGGCCGAGCTGACTATTGCTTCCCCTGTGTGCCCTGCTGGCCCCTCCATTCTATATGCTCTTGGATGGATAAATAAATGAAAACAATAGGATACATTGGAGTATATGAGGAAGCTGTTTGGTTTACAACTAATTCAGCCTGATCTTGTTTTTCCAAAAGGGCCTGACATGGCCTGTTGAGCATGCATTGTATGTCTGCTGTAAACATTTACTATGTCCCAGAGACAAAAATGATGCCCTTAAAGATAGGGATGTAACTCCCCCTCATATTAGCATTTCTTAAGGATAAGCATTGCTTCCTAGGAACTAAGGATTAATTACCGACCTGCTGTGCTCACCTTGTGAGCACGGATCTGCTGTGCCAGCTAAGCATCTCATGACAGTAGTAAAAGATATATTCCTGTCATAGGTGATGTATGTTCTTTGTTCCAAGACAGTATACAACCACTCTGTACACCCCACTTCTTTGGTGCCCTTCTTTCTTTGGGGAAGGAAGGCCCCAGGCTATACTCCTCAAACTTGGCTCATAATAAACTCACCCTCATTTTGATTTATAGATTGACTATGGATTGTTTGTGCTGACAGGACCAAACAGTATTTACTGGGGACAAATTTGTCTTCCACTAAACTGCCACCATCCTGATTATAGGGCCTGTGACTTTCATTACTGTATTCCCAGAATAAAACACAAACTGGGTACCCAATGGATATTTCAAGAATTGAATTTTGCTATTTGCTGCTGAGATTGTTTCATCTTCTAGGCTGGGTGGTGAAAGTGAACGAGGGAGAAAAATCAAAACAGTAGCACGAAGCGGGTAGCGCAATAGCAACGTATTCAGGAAAAGCACTTGCAAATCCTCAGAGACGGGGGAGCTGTTACAAGAACAAGAGTTTAATTGCTGTGTCTTAGAGGTAACAGAGTCAATCATTTACACAGAGAGTACCAGTTTTTTAAAAATAAATTTTATTTTTTAGAGTAGTTTTAAATTTACAGAAAAATTACAAAATAGCAGTTTCCCATATATAGCACACCCAGTTTCCCCTATTACTAACATCTTACATTAGCATGGTCCATTTGCTACAATGAATGAAAACCCAATATTGATACATTATTTTTATTATTAAAATAAATTGTTATTATTAAATAAAGTCCATACTTTATTTAGATTTCCTTAGTTTTTATCTTTTCTCTCCAAGGTCCCATCCAGGACAGCACATTTCATTTAGTTGTCATGACTTCTCAGGCTCCTCTTGGTGGCGATAGTTTCTCGGCTTTTCCTTGTTTTTGATGACCTTGACTGTTTTGAGGAGTATTGGTCAGGTATTTTGTAGAATGTCCCTCAGTTGGGGTTTATCTGATGTTTTTCTCATGATTAGACTGGAGTTATGGGTATTTAGGGGGAAGATCACAGAAGTAACGTGCCATTTTCATCACATCGTATCAAGGGTACATACTACCTGCATGAACTTAGGACTGTTGATGTTGACCTCCTTCACCTGGCTGAGGTAGCCTTTGTTAGATTTCTCCACTCTAAAGTCGCTCTTTGATTTCTCCCTCCCATTACTGTACTCCTTGAAAGGAAGTCACTATGTGCAGCCCACACTTAAGAAGCAGGGAAGTTATGCTCCACCTTCTCGAGGGCAGAGTATCTGCGTAAAGAATTTGAAATTCTTCTGGATGGGAGATTGGTTTCCTCTCCCCCCATTTATTTATATCAGTATGAATTCACGGATATCTATATTATACTTTGGGTTGTAATCCAATACTACTTTATTAATTTTCTTGCTCAAATTGTTCCAGCATTGGCCACGGGGAGCTCTTTCAATTGCTTCCTATTTTCCACCACTGTGGTTTGTTGTCTTGTTTTTCACAGTTCCTTACTTTCTGGTACTACAAGATGCTCTAGGATCATCTTCTGTATTTCCTGCCTCACTCCTAGAATCAGCCATTTCTCCAAGGAGCTCAATTCTCTTTTCTTGAAGAATGGAATTAGAAACCAAGACCTCAGTGCTAGGTGTGCTCATTGATCCTGGGGGTCTCTTTGCTTCTAGGCTCTCAACTGTCCAAGAAAGGAGATACATGTGTCTAGACCAACCCGTGTGTATCCATATATCTAGGAATATTGCTATATGTATAGATTACCAATTTTGACAAGAAAGTCATTACTCCTTAGTGGACAAAACTCTCTGACACAATAAGATATTTAAATCTTATAATCTAGAATTTTACTCCAAACCAAAAGAAGAAAAGATGGGCTTTGTGGATATTTTGGTCCATTTTACACATAGGATTTTTTTTTATTATTTCTCTTCTAATCCTTCCTCCATGTTGTTGCCATGTTCCCAGAGGTAGTTTATTAAGTTTTATTCATTTCTTGGTGGATAGTGTGGTCAAGAAGTTTGCTGAAGTTGGCCGGAACAGCAGCAGCAGCTACAAATCTCCCTAGCTGACCTGATACACTCATTTGAGCAGCCAATGGAGTTGAAGCTGGGTGAGACTGTTTTGCCTTAGGAATTTGACCTGGGGCTACCCACACTGGGTCTACAGCATAGCAACTACAACAGAAGGACCTTCTTTTTGTCCTCTCTGCAGGGAAGTAGAAGCATCCTTGTGTTGGAAAAAGGTGGTATGCCCAACCACTCCCCACCCCGCCTCAAGATCACACTTTACAACCAAAACTCACTGGGAGGAGTCAGGGAAAGAACATCACTAAGGTACAACTCCACACAGAGCTGCCCCCACCACTGCACTCAGCCCCTCTGCCACTTGCCTGCCCACTTGTTCAATAAACATGGATTAGACACGAGGCACAGGCTAGGCATAGGGACAGAGGTGGATGAGGCTCTGCCCTATAGGAGCTCCCAGGATAATAAGTTACTAAAAATAAATAAATAGAATACAGTGTAAAATGTGTCATATTAGAGCAAGATCTTAGCCTGGGTCCATGGATAGACTTCAGGGTGTCCCCTATAATTAATTATAAAAATTTATATATGCTGGATACTCCCTGTTTGCTCCCCAATTACATCTTCTCTACCCTGCTCTGTGGCCCAGGAAGCTGACCTCTATGGACTCCATCAGATGGGCTCACTTGCCCGTAGGCTTTTATTCGGCTTTGGCCAACAGGAAGAACCAGAAGGAAATCTGGGAAGGGGAGAGAGAGGTAAGGGTACGTATTTCTCCACCAGTGCCTGCATTCCACTGCCCAAGGCCACAGCTCATACAGGCTGCCTCTCTTACAGTCATAGCTGTAGCACTTCCTGGGTCCCCTTTGTCTTTCAGACTTAGGGGTGGTAACCGCTCCCTGTTTCTCACCAGCCCCAGGGTACTTTGCCATCCCTCTTGGGTTCCCTAAATCCTGCCCACATCTTTGTAAACAGTACTGACATCAAACTCCCTTCAATCACTATGAGTATGCAGAACACTGAAAATAGGTGAATCAGATTCTTGAAAGGGTCCACGACTCAAAAGAGGTAAATAAGCCCCTTCAGCAGAGGTCCATACAAGATGATGTGGATCTCAGAAGAAGGTGTGCTATCTATAACTCTGTGGGCTTTAGAGAAGTGTGCTCCTCTCAAAAGGAGTTGCTCCCCACTGCTCTTGGAATAAAGGCCAATCTCCTTAATATGGCCCACACAGCCCCACCCCATCTGCCCCTCTCCAATCGCACCCCAAACACTCTGCCCTTGCTCTCTGTACTCTAGCCACCCCGACCTTCAGGTTCTGTACTTGTGTCAGGCTCTCTCTAGCCCTGCGGCCTCAGCACATGCTGTTCCTTCTGTCTGGAAAGGTTCCTCCATTGTCTCTACTCGTTCTCCAGGCCTTGGCTCAAATGACTCTTCCCAGAGCCCTTCCCTGACCCCCAGTCCAGGTCACGTTCCTGTGCTACATGCCCAACAGGACCCTGAATCCCTCCTCCAGAGCACTTATTCAGCTTGGAACACATTTTTTTTGTCTTGTGTTTGATATTTATTAATGTCAGCCTCTCCCACTAAACTGTAAGTTCCAGGAGGGATGGAACCATATCTATTTCTGCTCATTGTGTGTCTTCAGCACAGTACATGATACATCAGAGATGCTCATAAGTATCTGGAAAGAAATGAATAACTGAAGGTGATATTTGAGTCAGACCATAAAGGGTCAGTTTGCCAGAAAGCACAGACCAGGAGTCTAAGAGGTCACCTGAGGGCTCAAGAACTGGTTAGCCTGAGTGCATCCCGCCTGGACTTTCTTAGGCAACAGGCAAAGCCCCCCAAGACCTTCTTCCCAACCGCAGGATAAAACCCAGAAACATTACCTTGACGTCAAGGGTGAGCATCAACTCAAACTGGTTGTAAAATTCCTTGAGGCTGGACAGCTCGTACTCCTTCTCTGTGCCCAGGAACGCCTCAATGTCATTCAAGGCAATGTCAACCCCCTCTCGTGACTGGCACTTGTCTACAGCTTGGGAAGCCAAGAGGTAGATTCCCGCTTCACACCACTGGCTGACCTTTTGAAAAGAAACACAGTGCCCTGTGCAGTTCGCCTGACCACAACTCAGCCGCCACAATCCTCAGGAGGTCTGAGCTCGTCTGGGATCTACAAAGATTCTGAGACAATGGGAAATTGTCATGGGACAGCCTAAAGTTTAGAGGTCTACCCACTGTAAACACAACTGTGAGTTGGACAAGCCCAAACCAATTTCACATCCATCCACTTCTCAGGGAGGTCACCCAGTCAGTAAAATGAATCGTATAAACATTCTTCTTTTTTCCACTAACAGTAATTGCTACATCTCCAGGAGGAGAGAGTTAAGTATTTCTAAGATCAGTCTAACCATAGTGAAATGCAACCAGTGACTTTTCGGGTTTCCCACTAGGCCAATCGTCTTGCATCCTAATTGGTTACAAGAGGAGAGGGTGACTAATAAGGCATTAGACCCAGCCCTACACGCCTTCCTGGGGGAGGGAATGTCCCTTTTAACAAAAACACCCCTTTCCTCTGTACACATGTATACTTACTGGCATTTGTCTTTCCCAGGGAAGCACCCAAGAATACAAAGCTTTGTAAATCAGAACAGCCAAACTCAAACTTTCCAGAAGGCTTGGATGAAATCAGATAGGTGATGAATTCTAACAATTCAACTTTTAAAAGACTTAAACAGAAAGACAGGGGCCCTTGTGCTGCCTGAATATTTATATGAAAAGAAACTGCCAGTGCAACTACATCTGCATTTCCATTTACCAAGTGACCCGAAGAGCTATGTAAAATAACTATATAGAGAAAAAGATCAGAAGGGAGCGTTCCAAAGTACTTATCTCCAAGTGGGAAAATTGTAGCAACTTAAATTTGTCTTTATTTTTCTCTACATTATCTACACTGAATGTGTACTACTTTTAGAATAACAAAAAATGATGAAGATATTTAAAAATTAATGATTACCACTGTGCAGATGAGGAAGGGAGTGGGATGTAGGTAGGTGTCCGTGAGTAACTTTTTTCCTCCTCCTTCCTGCATTTTTGGATTTTCAAAATAATACGTGATTATGCTTTGATATATACTATGAAAACTTTCTCTTTAAACATCATGCCTAGATCTGCAGAAAACATTGAGCGGGGGTCTCCTGCAGAGTCACAGCAGCGACCTATTCTCCCAAACACACACACACTCCACACATTCAGCGTGAGGCTATTATTTCTGGAGCAGAAATGGGGTGAGGAAAACAGCAGCTGATCCTGCAGAGAGCTCAGCACACAGAGCAGGCTGCACACCAGGACCTCTGAGCCACTTGCCTCTGAAACAGCTGTATTTCATTGACATTAAAATCCCTTTGGCAAGGGGACGATGTAAACAGCCTGGGCAGGTGCCCCCAGCCATCGGGGAGAGACAACTGTGGGAATGGAGCATGCTGACTCATGGGCGTGAGGTGCCTGCCGCCTGGGAACAGCTGACAGGGAAGGCTCCAGAAGCCACTGCCCCTGCTGACAGGGCACTTGCCAGAGATCACAGCTGCGCCCCCTCCCTGTGAACCCTCTGCACACAATGTTGCTGTCTAGTCTAAACAGCCTGGGTTTTGGAATTTGGCAGGCCTGACTTCAAATCTGCAAGCACGATTTTAAGACTATTTTACAGAAAATTTTGCAGACATCCTGATCATGGCTTTGTTTTGCTTACCTTGTCCAGCTGTCTATGCAACTCCAAGGACTTTCCTAAAATGTCGTGTTTTTTCTTGTTTTCATTGATGAAGTCATCGCGGAGGTGCCTGAGCTCCACACACCTGGGTCTGATGGAGTCCACCGCATAGTGGTGGCTTTGGATGAGCTGGTCCCCAATTAGTGCAAGCAGCTGGGCCTTTTCCAAAGGCTCCTGTGAAGTGAACATCCACAGTCAAGCTTTAGAAGCCAGGTCACGGTGGGGCTGCTATTTCCCTGGCACTGTGTGCTCCAAGCCAGGAGGGAGGCTAGGGAGACGTTGATTCAGGCCTTAGGCTGAAAGGCTGGGGAAGCTGGGGAAGCTCTGTGCAGGTTCAAGGTCCCCTGGAAGTCTAGCCTAGCCCAGGGTCTGCACTCTGAAGAAGAGCAAGTCATTCATTCAAATATTTGTTGAGTTCTGGGAGGTTGGCACTGAGGATATAGTGTTAATAAGCCAGGAATTTTCAGTCTAATGGAGAACTCAGATATTAAATAAATTAAATAATTAAATTACTACAACTGTGATAAGTTCTAGGGCAAAAGAGTATGAAGTGTTATACTGCATAGAATAAGAGATGCTGAATTCCCCTGTCAACTAAATGGAAAAGGAAAGGGACAGACAAGTGGCCCCAAGGAGAGCGGGGAGTGAGCTGAAATTGAGAAACTGGAAAAGATTTGGTTTGGATAACTCCACGGAGTGTCATGAGACTTAAGAAATCTGTTTGTCAAAACCTCCTCCTGCAACCCACTAGGTCCCTGTCTGCTCGGCAACCACATTTCCTACTTCTCTCTCCATGGCTAGCTGTGTTCTAACCACATGTGCCATGTTTTTCTGTTTTTAATTCATCCATCACATATTATTGAGGACCTACCATGTGCCAAGCATTGTCCAGGTGCTGGGAGTTTGGTGGTAAACAGAGCAGACAAAAATCCCTGCCATCATGGAACTTACATTTTAATAGGAGACAGGCAATAAACAAATATGTAGATTATTTAATATCTTAGTGATGAGTGCTATGGAGAGAAGTGAAACAGGAAGGGGAGGGCAGAGAGTGCTGGTAGAGGAGTTGTTACTTAAAATAGGATAGTGAGAGAAGGGCTCATGAGAAGGTGTTATCTGAGCTGTGCAGAAGAGTTAACACAACAGGCCTGAGATTGCTGCCCATAGAAAGGCTTGCTTGCAAGGTTGGCCCTTGGCTGGCATGTAGGAATGTCAGGAGGATTCCTCCCATCTCCTGATAAGAATGGCTCACTATGCCTAAACCATTTATGCAAATAATATGTTTTATGTTGAACACCTGCTTTCTTTCTGGGAGTCTGTAATTCTGGTATATGCTAGGCAGAGGCTACCTACATGACCGGCCCCCAAGAAAAACTCTGGGCACTGAGCCCCTTGAGCTGCCCTGATAGACAACACTTCAGAATGTTGTCACAACCCATTGCTGGGGGGATTAAGAGCATCGTGTGGGACTCCACTGGCAGAAGACTCTTGGAAGCATCTGCCTGGCTTCCTCCAGACTTGCTCCATGCACCTTTCCCTTTGCTGACTTTGCTTGGTATCCTTTCAGTGTAATAAATCATAACCGTGAGTATAATCATATACTGAGTCCTATTAGTCCTCCTGGCAAATCTTCATCTCTGGGTGTGGTCTTGGGAACCCATGACACAGGGGCCAAGACCCGAAGTGAGGGTCAAGCCACATGGTCCTTGGCTGGGCCGTGGGGGCAAGTTTGACATGTTCAGGCAGCAGGAGGAGGCCGCTGTGGCTGAAGCAGAGGAGCAAGCAGTAAGGGAGTAGGAGACACTATCAGAGAGGAAAGAGGGAGGCTCTTGGGGGAGGGCCTTGCTGCCATTGTGAGCATTTTGGCTTTTACTCATTGTGACACAGGAAGCCCTGGAGGATTTCATTCATATTTTTAAAAGAATCGCTCCAGCTGCGGTGTTGAGAATGGCAGAGAAAAGGCTAAGCAGGGAGACCAGCGGGGGGCCTACTGCAGTAACTCAGGTAACAGGTGTGGCTTAAACAAGGCTGGTAACCACACCAGCTCCTGCCTCAGCGCCCTTCCCTGGGATGCTCCTCCCAGGGTCATTCAAGCCTAAGCCCTTGGCTCACCTCTCACAGGCCCTTCCCTGACTACAGTATCTAGTCACTGCCCGCAACCCACCCACCCAGGCCTCTCCCTCACTTGGTTTTCATTTTTTAACAGTACTTACTTCTGTCTCAAAACATCTTCTTTCTTTAATACATGATTCTTCCCTCCTCCACCTACTTCCACCAATGTGTAAGCTTCATGAAAGCACTTAGTAGGCATCTCATAAATATTTGATCAACAAAATGAACCAATGAATGAACCAATGAACAAGACAATACAGTGATCTGCTTGGCTGGAAATGTGTGAACCAACATTGACCTTTGAGTCAACACAGATGAGTGCCACACTCCCAAAGGTTTCTAGGAGCAGAGAGCCCATAGGCACCCTTGCTGACCATGTTGAATATCCAGTGTGCCACATCTGCCCTGGTCTCACTCTTTACAGTAACACAAGGAGTCATGATGACTCTAGGTGATGACAATTTGTCCTCTCTTAACTTACAGTGGCTTATGGTTTCACCAATCTCAAAACTCCTGCCCTCTTACCCAGCCAGTTATTCACCAAGCCCTGCAGAGCCCACATTCTTCTTAATAACTTTTGAATTCCAAGCCCTTCTCCACCACCTCCGTGTCACTGTGTTCAGGCCTCCATGCTTTCTGACTGGGATAGTTGGCATCTTTGCTTTCCTTGGCTTTCCTTCAAATCATGCTCCATGCCGCTGATGAAGCAGCAATTCCATTACGACATCTTATCATGCCTACATCACTCCCAAGCCTCAAATCCTTTCCTGGATCCCTACGGTCTTCAGGAGAAAGTTCAAACTCCTGAGTAATGCACAGAGGCCTTTTATTTTCTGGCTTATACCTGTGCGTCCCCCTCCTCCACTGGACTAATGATCCATTTGTAGTTCCCCAAATAGTCAGGCAGCTCAGGGCTCCATGCCTTCTCTACTTGCTCTCTGTGCCTAGACAGGCCCATCCTTCCCTCACCACCCCCTCTTAGAACTTAGAACAGTGCTTGGCATGGTAGGAGATCAACAAATATTTGAATGAGGAATGAACGAGACACTCTTGCTGGGTTGAGGAGCCTTACTAACATACCAGCTCAGAATTTACCCCACCACCTCTGTGATATTCACAACAGCGGCTAACCTTCACTGGGGGCTTACTATCCGCCAGACACTGTTCTGAATGCTTCCATCAATTGTTTCTTTTACTCTTCACAACAAACCCTTTAATATAGGTGCTGTTTTACAAAAGAAGAGTGGAGGCACGATGGCCCAAGGTGACCTGGGTGGACAGAGAAGAGCCAGGCTCCAAACTCAGGCAGTCTGGCACCAGAAGCTGGCTCTGACCAACACACACAGAGAAAAACGGCTGCACTCGTTCTGTCTAAGCTTAGAGACTCATTTGGTTGATCAAACCTCTCTGACTTTAGTCAAATATAGAAGCATGAAAACTCAGCAAGGACTTCTCTGTTGACAATTGTTTTTCCAAGTCCAGCTGCCTAATTTATTAAGATTAGCACAAGTTTACTGGCCCAGGGAACTTTACCATAGGATATTTCCCGTGTCCTGTGGTGATCACAGCCTGCCCTTCACTTGGCATGTGGCACCTCACCCTTCAAACTGTTCTTAAAACAGTTGAGACGTTGGAAGAAAAATGTGAGTAACACGTCCAAATGTAAATATAACAGGAACCACCACTGGACAGCTGGAACATCACTGTATAACACGGCAGTTTCCGAATTCTGACCACCCACTTCGTTCCAGGCACTCACTAAGTCCTTACCACACATCTAACTCATTTAATCTTTACAAGGACTCTGTGAGGTAGGAATCATTATTGTCCCTTTTATAGATGGGAGGATGTCTAAGGCTAAGAAAGCTAAGAGCGTGACTAGGGTCACACAGCTGGTGGCTGTTAGAGCTGAGCTTTGAATCCAGTTCTGTCTGACTCCCAAGCCTGTGCCTCATCACTGTCCAGCCCCCTTGGCCTCCCCACAGGTGCTGTGAATGATGGCTGCACAGCCTTGACTATCAGATCCTTTGGGTGCCTACAAAGAACTTTACAGTAAAACCTCCAAATTGCAGCTTATTTTTTAATCCATACAGCTTCTGCTCAAGATAATCAGGTAACAAAACCTTCAAAGTAGAAAAGAAATAATGAGAAATAAATGGCTGAAATCTGGAGCTCTGATCACAAGCCTGCCTGGCATCTTTCAGATGCTGAAAATTCCAGAAAGCTGCATAGTCAAGTTGCAACACGCGATTCAGAAATCTTTATTGTAATAACAGCTAATTTTTCTCCCGAGGACTCTACTGCTAGGACGGATAAAAGCTGGGAGTGTTTCCTGTGGAAGAAAACGGTGAGAAAATGTGATGCTGCTATCTCAGGGGACTCAGAACAAATCCACAGACAATGGCATAGGATGGAATGTATGCACAGGGAGGTGGGCCAGATGAATGGAGAAAGGCAGAAAGCTAATGGTTATTGAAGCTGAGCGATAGACACATGCGAATTCATTGTACTAATTGATCTACTTTTGCATGTGTTTGAAAATTTCCATTAAAAAAAACCCGCCATGGCCCTCAAGCTAGATTATGTCTCTGGGAAATTAATGATCTGACTTCCATGCCTTCTTGGACAAAGTAGTGTAACTGCTGGCTCCTGGCCTTGGGGGGAAAGGTTGGTTCTCCCTGCCTTTTCCTGGCCTATTACTGGCTGGCCCCTCACCAAAGGCCCCAGCACGCCTCACAGCCAAAACCCTACAGCAAACTCAGCTTTTAAAGAAGTAGGAGGCTGTCTAAAACCACTGTTTCTCCAAATTAGAAAGGAGCACTCAAAAGACTGCTAAACCCTCAAACCAGAACAAGATAGAAGAAAAGGCTCAAGCAGCAGGCAGCAGGAGTCTGGTTAGTAAGTTGGCTCAGAGGTTACCCAAGAGGATGATATCACCGCACAGAATAAGGAAGGTGGCAATAACCCAGAAATCAGTGTGTGGCCATGCTGAGAGGGAAGTTGACCGCTGAGTGCTGAGCGAAGGACAAACCACAACCAGCTTTTGGTGGATTTCAGCCAGATATCACCTTGTTCTTCTAACATTTTACATGACAAATGGAAAGACTAGCCAACCCTTATCATGCCTCTTAGAAATCTGAGCAAAGACGTGTTAAAAACGTCCCAGTTATGATAAGATAGCTTTGCTTGGTCCACCCAAAAGTGGAGGAATAAGTCTACCATATCCTTTAGAAAACAAGTAAAAAACAGGGCAAGCAAGGCACAGAATGGATAAAACCAATCAGCCTGGCTCTGAGGGTCGTCTGCAGTGGGTTAGTCTAGCTGATTCAGAAACTCTGCCCATGAAAGATGGGTCATGGGCACACAGAGAATTCTTACATCTCATGACTGTAGGAATGTGCCCCTAGCTTTGGTCAGTGATCCTTAAAGTATGTACCAAGGATCACCAATCCAAGGAGGTGGGCAGAAGAGAGAATGTGGGTGCAGTCATGCAGATCCATCCCTACTATTCAAAACACAACCCTGAGCACCCTCCAATGGCTTCTTGTTCCACTGAGAATAAAATCCAAATCCTCACCATCATTGCTCCCACCTGGTTCCTTCCTGGCTCACTATGTTCCAGCCACCTTCCTTGAACCCACCAACCTCATTCCCATCTTAAGACCTTTACACTTGCAGCTTCTTTGCCTTGAATGCTATTCCCCAAATCTTTGCATGGCTATCCAGATCTCAGATCAAAGGTCACCTTCACAGAGGCCTTTCATGACTACCTTTGCTAAAGTAGCACCCCTAGTCACTTTCCACTATATCCTGTTATTTTCTTCATACCGCTTGTCACTGTCTGAGCTTATTATTTATTTGATTACTTTTTGTCTATCTCTCCCCAGGAGAATGTAAGCTCCATAAGAGCAGGGTCTTGACTGTCTGGTTCACCACCATATCCTCAGAACCTAGGACAAGGAATACCTGGTGATGAGTGAATGCCTTTCTGGTAGGTCATTAGCTACCTTTAAGACCATATATATATGTATTTTGTGTGTGTGTGAGGAAGATTGGCCCTGAGATAACATCTCTGCCAATTTTCCTCTATTTTGTACATGGGAGGCCACCACAGCACGGCTTGATGAGCGGTATATAGGTCCATGCCCAGGATCCAAACCTGCAAATCCTTGGCCACCGAAGCAGAGTGCACAAACTTAACCAGCATGCCCCTGGGCTGGCTCCCATGACCATATTTTTCAAACCAAAAATGAAGACACTTGGCTTGATAAGGCATTTTTTCCTAACATATGAATGTATGTAAGTGAAAATACATAATATCTACATTTAATAAGGCATTCTCTTGGAAAAACTAAAATTACATAAATTGGGACTGTCTTGGAGACATATAGTCATCAGATACATGAAATTCCATCTTTCTTTTCTTTTCTTTTCTTTTTTCAAAGATTGGCACCTGGGCTAACAACTGTTGCCAATCTTTTTTTTTTTTTCTGCTTTATCTCCCCAAACCCCCCCTGTACACAGTTGTATATCTTAGTTGCAGGTGCTTCTAGTTGTGGGATGTGGGACGCCGCCTCAGCGTGGCCTGACAAGCGGTGCCATTTCCGTGCCCAGGATCTGAACCCTGGGCCGCCGCAGCGGAGCGTGCGAACTTAACAACTCGGCCGCGGAGCAAGCCCCTCAATCTTTCTTTTCATCGTTTGATAATTGTTTCTGACGACTTGTGCCTTTAGCACTAATGTGTTTAGCTGTCAGATGATCGCTGATAACAGAAGAAGTGCTCACTGGGGAAGGATGGGATTCCTGAGCGAGAGTCTGGGTGCACAGTGAGGTCACGTGTTCACGCACGTGCAGAAGCACCTCCAGCTTAGAACCTACAACTGACAGCTCTTAATGTCTGAGTAGCCTTGGTCCACAGTCGTTACTATCCTTTAGTGGGGTATGTCTCTATAATGTGTAGGTCAGTCACCCGGGGATCTTATTAAAATCCAGATTCTGATTCTGAGGTGGGACTTGAGATGCCATATTTTGAACAAGTTCTCACTCAGTGACATCTATGCTGCTGGACAGAGGATTGTGCTTTGAGAAGCAAATCTCCAGTACTACAAAATTACCATCTAGGAAACATGCCCCCAGGTTAGCTCATAAAGGAAGTGCTAATCACAGAGGACTTGGTCCCCAAGAGACAAAATATAGAGAACCTAAGTGAAGAAAAGCAGAAGGGAACTTCTCTAGAAAGACGAGACTCAGCTTCCTTAATTGATAGTAACCCGAATTTGTAAGGACTTAAAATAGACTCACTCCTGAGTGCTGACTAGAGTGCCGATCTGGGAAACTGTTGAATTCTGCTACGAGAGTTGTGAAACACACCTTCCTTTACAAGTTTGATACTTACAACTCTTGGACATGAGAAAGGAGAAAGTTTTCCAGTTTTGTGTAGCAACAGAACTAAGATGGACCAGTTTCCCCCTTTTCATAGTCTTGCTCATTATAAAACCAGTACTTACTTTTTTCTGGTCCCCCCTTTTAAAGTTTCCCTTCCTTACCACCAACCCCGTCCCCACAGCCACCCCTGTGAGTAATGTGCCCGTTGTGAGCTTCCTTCTTGCTGCACCTCCACTAGCGAGGCCACTCACAAGCGGGCAGGGCCGCAGTAGCTCTCTCCCCACCTGAGCCTCCAGCTCCAAACCGGGTCCCCCAGCAGCCTTCAGAGAACTCTGCGCCGCTGGCAGGATTTGGGCATTCCTGTGTCCTTTAGCCATATTCCAATAATGAATGGACATGATCTGTCACTGTCCACAGTGACTTCTTTCCCAGTCCACAAAAATAGCAATCAACAAACCTGGCCTTTTCCTTCCAGTTCTTTGTGTTCCTTAAGAAGTTGCTCCACATGCATCGCGCTGTCTCCAATGTCTGTAAACTCTGCCTGCTCTGCCAGCAGGGTGTCCAGGGCAAGTTTAACCTATGAGACACAGGAGAACAGTCCAGAAATAAGCCAATGAGTACCTATCTGGAGGTATAGCTTTGTTATACTCTAAGAAAACTCGAAAATCTAAAAAGGATTCAGGACCTGAGTGTATCTATGTATACATTTTTTTTTAAACAGCTCATTAGCTTTTAGATTAAGCTTTGGGGGATAGGGTGCCTGAGACACATGTAGATGGAATATTAAAGCCACACTCAACAAATCATCTATCAAAAAGGAAGACGACCCATCACTGAAATTCCATATATGCCAAAAGGAAAATGGGATTCCAGGACATTGCTACCCCACTGAAAAAGGGAGAAGAGGATGGTCTGTGAGGAAGCAGGATATAGGAAGGGGGCTGGATCAGGAGAAGAGGGAAGCTTGATACCCAGAATTCAAGGAGGAAGAGAGAACCAGAGGTCACTGAATGACAAAAGGAAGTTCTATGAAACAAGAAAACAACACCTCACAAAAGTTGTGCTCAAAGCGCTGTAGTTGCAGGCACTGGGTAAGCTTCAGGTGATGCTCGGACCAAAAGTGACTAAAGGCTTTTTCTGTTTCATCCAACTGAACTAATAACCTGTCAAGAAAGAATGAGAGAGTGACATAGTGGCTAGCTTTCATTTGCACAGGGGTCCGTACAGGCTTACGTAGATAACACCTGTGTTTTCAGTCAGTGTCATTTTATTTATTTATTTATTTATTTATTTATTTATTTATTTTATTTTCTTGAGGAAGATTGGCCCTGAGCTAATCTTCCTCTTTTTTTTTTTCCTCCCCAAAGCCCCAGCACATAGTTATATATCCTAGTTGTAAGTCATTATAGTTCTTCTATGTGGGATGCCACCACAGCATGGCTTGACAAGTGGTAGGTAGGTCTGCGCCCAGGATACAAACCTGTGAACCCTGGGCTGCCAAAGCATAGTGCACAAACTTAACCACTTGGCCACAGGGCCAGCTCCCCCTTTTTCTTTTCTTTTTTTTTTTTGGTGAGGAAGATTGGCCCTGAGCTAACATCTGTTGCCAATGTTCCTCTTTTTACTTGAGGAAGATTGTCACTGAGCCAACATCTGCACCAATCCTCCTCCTCCTACCACAGTATGGCCTCCTACCACAGTATGGCCTGTTGAGCAGTATGTAGGTCTGAACCCAGGATTCAAACCTGTGAACCCCAGGGCACCAAAGCAGAGAGCGTGAAATTAACCACTATGCCACCAGGCTGGCCCCTTCAGTTAGTGTTTTTAATTGTGGTAATGTCCTTATGATGCAAGTCTGTGTCATCTATGACTTTCTCAGGGTTTACTTGGTTTTCACATTTTCCATTTTTCCATCAGAACACCCTTGGTGCTAGGCAGAAACTTCACTTAGATGCAGCCGCTGTGCTTTCAAATGTGCCCCAGGTAACCTTACCTTTGTGCCTTTTGTTTTCCACCTGAAATGACAGGTGGGTAAAGCAGAGCACCCAGCGAAACTGTCATTTGGAAGCCAAGCTCAACAAATACTACCTTCTCCCTTGCAATCCTGGGATGACAGCATATCAACAGAGGAGGAAAGAGCATTCTCACAAAAAGATCTCTGTAGATGGACATCAGACAGGTACCATCTTTTTTGTTGTCGTTGTCTCAAATATTATTCTTTCTTGACCCCAGCGAGACCAAAGAGTAGCTGTTCCAACCTGTTCCTGGTTGCTTCAGATCATTTAGCTCTACATACACTCTCTTGAAAAAGCAGATTCAACCTCCCTCACTCACCTTTTGATGGTGGCTACATTCTCAAGTTCATTGGGATTGAGTTTGCTGGTGGGGCTTTTGGTTGCTGGTTCTTGAATGCACAATAGCAACATGACCCCTTGCTTTCCAAGTAATTTCAGCTCATCCTAGAGAAAGAAAAATATAGTCTCTCTTAGAAGGAATTTATAAAACAAATTCATGGTAGATCTAGGGTGAGGAGAATGGTAGATCGGTATATTTTTCATTTGGGAAATTAAATGCTAAAGAAGTGAAGCTATAGCTTTTAAAAACTAATTAACTTATTCTTAGTAGGTAATATGTACCCATGATACAAAATTCAAAATATACAAAAGCGTATATATTGGAAAAAGCAAGTCTTTGGTCCCCAGCCCATCCACTTTTCCTCTCCAAAAGCAACAACTATTAAATTTTGTGTGTATCTCAAGCTGTTGTTGTAAATTAAAAGCAAAATTAGTTAATAAAATCCGCTTCTATTCCAAGATAGTGACCAGAAATAAGAAAGTGACAGATATTGAATGTTAAGTGCTGGATACTGCCATGCAATAATAATGTAATAATTGCTAGGTGGCCATGAAAAAGTCTTCATCTGGTCTCATCAATAAACACCTGCCTCTCCTTCTACCTGCCCCCAAAGTGTGGCCTTGTTCAATGACTGAAATTTGGCAGAGATGGGCAGCAGTTTCAGTTTGACATGGAAAGATTCATACTCCCAAGGCAACTCCATTCTGCTCTTTCTACATGGGGACTTAGGGCTTTGCAGTTGGGGAAGACGTCAGGTTCTCTCCTTCCAAATCCAACAGCTCTGGTCCTCTACTCGCACAGCGCAGGTCATCTCTCAATGCTGAGTGTTAAACACAAGGCAAGCCACAGGGCAGAGCCTGGCCTAGAATTTACTCCTGGGACTTCTGGGTTTGGCTCCTGGGTCACACAGGATGCTGGTTTGGTACATGCTGTGAGCTAGAAAGGCCCACAGTCACAAAACGATCACCTCTGCGTACATGAACACTGAATCTTTTCCTCCAGGCCCAGCCATCTTCATCCTTCACATGGTATGGAGCTCATTTCCCATGGCAGGTGTTTAAATGTACTTCTCCACTGTGTTCACACAGAGGACTAGACCCTCTCAACCTTTGCTCCTTGTCTCCCATCCCACTCCAGTTTTCATCTCCTTGAAGGCTTCCATCATCCATACCCAGCCTCGAACTTGTCCCCAGATCCAGTTGATGATAGATTTGACTTCTCTGATCTAGTCCCTCAAAATTCTTTGGCTATCTCCCGTGGCTCTGTCCACTCTTGGTAATGCCCCCAAGCTGGCCTCTTGGCTGGTATTCCTGGCTGGGAACAGGACACATCCCTTCTTTTCCATTCTCAGGTATCAGCCCTCATTTCTTCTTATCTCATCGATGCTCCTTAAATATTTGTACGTTGGATGAATTAATAATAGTCTAAAAGAAATCAGGTTGCAGATAAATAAAGACAAGTAAGATATGATGCAGGAAAAAAGCACTCATTAGTGAGTGCTCCTAGTCTTTCCCTCCTCCTCCTCACTAAAATGGGTCTTGGCTTTTGTCTTCAGTTTCTTTACTGTCCCTGAGCTTCCAGCATTCCAGCAGGGTTAGCTGGGAGGAAAGGTGGAGGAGCCAAAGGAGAGGTATATTGTTAGTGCAGAAGGAGACATTTGGAGTAGGAAGCCTGAAAGAAATAAACCTCAAAAGCTGGAGAGTGTGAGGAAAGCGTATGAGAGAGGAAAGGTGAATCTTAGTAAGCAATGTCATACACTGTATATCTCTTTCCTGTGGTTAAAAAATAAAAGGAAAAACAGTGACCTGGTGACTGCTTTGGGTCTAGACGACACAGTCAGCTTCGGTAGGTTATCAAAATCTGCCATCAACACAGAGGGAAAGTTTGAGGAACTATGATACTCGATACTCGGAAAGTGTAAAGGTATGTTGCCCAGCCCCAAAATGGAGTTTGCTCTTGTCCACAGCAGTGACAATTCAAAATATTTAACACCTGTATAGAGCAGGCACTGGCCAATCAGCACAGACATCAGACACTCGTGAAGCAGTCCCGGGGCCCACTGTGGTTCAGGTGTTAACGCTTTAGTTGCCAGAATCATGAGGCGGTATTGTGGGTCCTAGGAAAAGGGCCAGGGAGGTGGAGTGGGGCACTCAAGGGGAGTAAATATTGAACTCTTTTTAACACCTAGTATGGCTGTCCCCGTGTGTACTCATGACTATGATTCCATAACTGTGGAAACAAGCAGTCTGTTTAGAAGACGACCCACTTAACAGGGCAAGGCGGATTCCATCAGGCTCAGAAAAATTTAAATTTTCTGGAGGGAATTCCTTTTTTTGTTGTTATTTTTACAGTCCAGAGGTCTTCTATTTTTTTTCACCTATCATGCCATGAATTCACAGGGAATGGGTTCTAGCAGCTCAGGCTCCTCTCCGTTGGTTCTCACAAGAGTGCTTCTCTGGGTGGAGCAGGCTGGAAGGTCAGTTGGACCCAAGTGACTTTCTCTTTAGCTTCCTTCTTTTTCTGGTCATTTTCCTTCACATGTTTCAGGACACTATCACTGCTCTTCAAGTGCTTAATATGCTTAATATGTACATTAATTCTCTTGGCAAGAATCTTGCCCTTAACTTCTGTGTTTACAACAATGCCAACAGCATGCCGGGTAACACGGTAGATTCTTCCAGTTTTGCCATGGTCACATTTGTGGGGCACTCCTTCTGGAACAGTGCCCATTCCCTTGATGTCTACAATATCACCTTTCTTGTAGATTTGCATGTATGTGGCCAAAGGAACAATTCTATGTTTTCTAAAAGGCCTAGAGAACATATAGCAAGTGCCTCTCCTCTTTCCCTTTGTGTTGGTCATTTTGGCCAATTACTGGAAGATGGAGGTTCCGGCCAAAAGGTGGGAATTCTTTCCTAAGACAAGGATAAGCATGAATGTAGGCATTTATTCATTCATTCAAAATCCACTTATAAAAAACTATTACAACATGCCAGGCACTGTGCTTGGTTGCCATGGGCTGGAGGTGGAGGCGGGGTAGGAAGTAAAAGGATGAATCAAGCAGAGCCTAGAGAATAGATGAATACTCCTTATTTTACTTCCATTACTTATCCCATTTCTGCCACTAAAAGTTAGCTCTACTGTCATGTTTTGTTTATAATGCTGACTAATGAATTCCAGAATCTGGCCTTTAAAATGCAAGTCTTCATAATTTAGAAAAAAGTCCCTGGAAGAGAGGAGATATCCCCTTGCCTCAGCAGCTACTGAGAGAGATCTTCCTGTGGTAGAAAACTACCTCCAAACACTGATTTGTTAAGGTATTAACCTTGAAAACATTCATAAGAATACCAATTTTGTCTTCCTGTGCAAAATCAAGACCTCTGTGCCTATCCATCGCTAACTTACGTTCTCTAGAAGTAGGGTTTGAACAAGGGGGTCTCTAAAAACTCCTAAAACTACAAAATTATTGCTAGGGCTTATGAAAATAACTTGTAATTCTGATTGATTACCTTCTAAATTATTCATCACCCTGGTAATATTGATGGAATTGTCATCTCTGAATACAAAATTGAATGAACGCTGAATGGAACAAACACCGAATACTAGACAGTATTCATGTGTGTAAAGATTGCTCTGTCACATAACTGGAGGACCACTGGCACTTTCCTCTCCTCCTGCATGATAAGAAAAAGGCCTATGGCTCTGTTAGAGTTCTTATTTTAACAGCAACAACAAAAATGAGAGTCTTACCCTATTTAAATGAACACATGGAACAATGTCTCAGTTGAATAAATAAAGCATCTGAGAGCCGAAAGTCGAGGCTCTGTGTTTCTAGCCTAAATAAGATGGTCAAAGAGGTGAGAGTCACCCTCTTTGAGACTCAGGAGGGAGACCGCCTGCCTTTGGGAACTGCCTCCAAAGCCAGCACAGAACAAGACAATAGGAAGAGCTGTGTGCTGAGAAAGACACTGTAATCAAAAACAGGGTAAGAAAGTACACATCCATATGGGGTTGGTGGTTCTTTTACTGTTGTCCTAGGGCCCATGGATCTTTCTCTTTTTAAAAAATTGAGATATAACTCGCATACCAGAAAACTCAAACTTTTAAAGTGTACACTACCATGCTTTTTTCCAGAACATTTTCATCACCTCCATTTCTCTGTCTTCCTACGCCCTGCCAACCACTAGTCTACCTCCTTTTTCTATAGATTTGCCTATTCTCGACATTTCATATAAACGGAATCATGTAATACACGGCTTTTTGTGTCTGCTGCTTTCACTCTGCATAATGTCTTCAAGGTTCATCCATGTAGTGGCATGAATCAGTACTTCATTCCTCTCTGTGGCTGAAAATATCTCATTGTAACGATGCAGCACATTTGTTTATCTTTTCATCAGTTGATAAGCATGTGGGTTGTTTCCATTTTGTGGGTGTTACGAATAATGCTGTCATGAAGACTCATATATAAGTTTTTGTGTGAAACATATGTTTTCAGTTCTCTTGTGCATCTACCTAGGAGTAAAACTGCTGGGTCATAATGATAACTTTACTTTTAGCCTTTTGAGGACCTGCCAAACAGTTTACATTCCCACCAGCAATGTATGAGGGTTCCAATTTTTTACATCCTCACCAGCACTTGTTATTATCCATCATTTTTTGATTATAGCCACTCCAGCGGGTATTTCATTGTGGTTTTGATTTTCATTTCCCTAAAGACTAATGATGTTGCACATAACTTCATATTTTAATAGTCACATATATATCTTCTTTGGAGGTATGTCTATTCAAACCTTTTGCCCATTTTTTTAATTGGGTTACTTGTCTTTTTATGGTTGAGTTGTAAGAATTGTTTATATATTCTGGATACTAGATGCTTATCAGATCTATGACTGCAAATATTTTCTTCCATTCTGTGTGTTGCCTTTTCACTTTCTTGGTATTGTCTGTTGAAGCATAGAAGTTTTTAATTTTGATGATGTCCGATTTACTTATTTTTTCTTTAGGTGCTTGTGCTTTTGGTGTCATATCTAAGAAATCATTGCCTAATCTAAGGTCATGAAGATTTATATCTACATTTTCTTCTAAGAGTTTCACAGTTTTAGAATTTACATTTAGTTCTTTGATCAATTTTGAGTTAATTTTTCTATATGGTGTGAGGTGAGCCTTCAATTTCCTTTTTTTCCATGTGGATACCCAGTTGTCCCATGGCCCAAGGATCTTAAGCAGTTTCAGTTCCCAGGGAAGGAAAATACCCTTAGTCATTTTGAGTATTTCCTTCTTTCACTGCCAGCACTCAGGCTGGAGGAGGAACTCAGGGACCTGCTTCTGGGAAAGTCTGTATAAGTTCATGGGTGTGTCAGCGAGCTTCCCCTTTGTGCAGACAGCATCGTGGTGGCAGTGGGGTGAGTGCCGCCATACTGCTTGTAAACTGAGAGCTGGTCTGTCGCCAGTCCAAGTTGCCTTTCCTTAGGAAATGAGAGCTCTCCTTGGAGAAGGATCCAGTTTGCAGAAGAGCTTGGGGTACCTGTGTGCACATGCTCTGAGTGTGCGCTCTAACTCTTCGTCCATGTGTGGAAAGCACACACGGGGATGAGGTGAATGTGCTGAGTTGTGTGTGCTTGCCTCGGGAGATCTTAGCCTCTCCCAGAGAAGCGTGTGTAAAGGACCCTCTTTCTGTCCCTCACGTGGTGCAGTGAACCCACAGAGAAGATAAGATTTCAGTCTTAGCATGAAGCCCAAGTACTGCCAATCTAAGTGGACAGAAAATAACAATACTGAAATTGGGAGCACTCTTTGACTATAAACATGGACTAAGAGCCAACCTGTGGCTTGACCCTAGGGGAAGGAATTTGTTTCTAGAGAAGAGCGTTCTTAAACGTCATAAGTTTGCTTGAGACTTTGATATGATTCTTCTGCTATGAATGCCCTGAGATTTTTTTCTTTGTAAACAGACTGGTTTGAAATACCAGGGTGGTCAAAAGAGAAGGGATTCTTTTTGAAGATAATTTTGAAGAAGTAATAACTCCATACAGAATTAGCAAATGAGGCCATAAAAATTCTATTTTGATTGGTTGACTGTAGAGGCAACTAGGTGCTTACGTGGATCTAAAATAAGGGCTCTCAAAGATCCCCAGGAGAGAGAAAAACAAGAATCAAGCCAAATCTCTTAATGCTGTGCTGTTTAGACAAAGTCTCTCCTGATGGAAGAACGCCATAAATCATATGCAGTAACGTACAAATATTTTAATAGATTTAAAAGCTCATTGTTCTGAGGATGAATCTTATACTGGTTTTCACTTGGAAAAGGCGCTTTCAAAATGGAAAAAAAAAAAAATGATTCAATTAGTTATAGAACCGGTAGATGACCGTAACAAAATGGAGTAACACATGTCGAGGCTTCTAAAATGGAGCTGGGAGGCCATTTTAGGGAAGTGGGGCTTATGCATGTCTCTACCCAGAGAGAATGCAACCTTTGACTGTGCTTCCCTGCTGTCATCCTGACCTTCTTTCAAGAAATATGCTTACTCTCATAGATAAGAACTTTCTGCCTTAGAGATGGCCTTTGCAACCAATCATGTATAGCCAAGAAGTAACGGTGTTGCCGGCACCAATCACAAATCTTGCAAAACAACCTACGTAATTTACCTTTTTTTACCTTTTTTTAAAAGTTTTTTTTTTTAAGATTGGCACCTGAGCTAACAACTGTTGCCAATCTTTTATTTTTAATTGCTTTTTCTCCCTAAATCCCCCCAGTACATAGTTGTATATTTCAGCTGTGGGTCCTTCTAGTTGTGGCATGTGGGACGCCACCTCAGCTTGGCTTGATGAGCGGTGCCACGTCAGCGCCCAGGATCCAAACCGGCAAATGCCTGGGCCACCGAAGCAGAGCATGCGAACTTAACCAGTCAGCCACAGGGCTGGCCCCCTTTTTTTGCCTTTATAAACCCTGTCTCCTTTGCCTTCCTTGGAGCATATTTGAGTTTCTACTCAAATGTGTGTCTCCCAAATTGCAAGTCTTGAGACCTTAAATAAACTTTTTGCTTCTTTTGCAGTTGATGCCTCTTATCCATTGTCAAACCTTTGATTATAGTAGGTAAAACACTCTAATAAGAATAAAATAAAATTTGTATAAATAACTACAAAAACTACTAAGTTATCAATAAAACTTTAAACAGTATTCCTTTTTTCTTTAAAGTGTTTTTGGATGAGAAAAAGAAAAAATATAACTCTAATGATTTGGGTATTTTTGCTTCTAATTTACAAGATAAGAAACAAATCAAATTTGCATTAGACCAATAATTAGTAATCACAAAAGGCTTTAAGAAACCCTCTATATTGTCTTTTAAAGGATATTACTATCACTTGGTAAAATAAAGACAAAATAATTATATTTTTAATCCAAATTCACTTAATATTCTTTTTTTGGAGGAAGATTAGCCCGAGCTAACTGCTGCCAATCCTCCTCTTTTTGCTGAGGAAGGCTGGCCCTGAGCTGACATCCGTGCCCATCTTCCTCTACTTTATATGTGGGACGCCTACCACAGCATGGCATGCCAAGCAGTGACATGTCCGCACCCAGGATCTGAACTGGCGAACCCCGGGCTGCTGAGAAGCTGAACATGCGAACTTAACCGCTGCACCACCAGGCGGGCCCTCAAATTCACTTAATATTCTTAATCAAGGTAAATGCTTAGACAAATTAAACTCTTTTGAGAATTTCATCTTAAGATAATTATAGGCATTTCTCCATGGTTTTAGGGCAGCGTGGAATATAAATGCAAGCATAAAAATTTAGTTTATGTAAGACATTGCATTTTACTTACTTACTAAAAGGCTAATTAAATAGAGCCTCCCAAATTCCTTTCACTTGTCTTACTGCTTAGATATGGGCGTTTAACCAAACTGAGATGTGATAATTAGAGTATATGGTTATTTCTTATAAATGTCAGACAATGCTGCAAACTATGTGGATCTACAAATTATCGCTCTACATAATCTGAGTGAAGTTTTAGCCTCCTTTGCGCAGAGTTACACGTTTTAATTCCGAGAACAGCTGGTCATCATGCACAAGAAAATGATCTTACTCCTCTTGGAGACTGGTTCTTTCCTGCTGAGGAACTCTCTGCCTGTGTAGAAATGATGCAACACCCACTCATCTGCCTTTCCCGGGAACCCTCACGCCACATACAGCAGGACCTGTGGTTTTCACCCCTCAGATACATGTCCTTGTCTAAAATCCAAAATGTTTTGCCTTTTCCCCAGAGACCTCCCTGATTGACCACATTGTCGTTTCGGTGCTTCTGCTCTGCAACCTCTCCAAATCCTTCTTGGAACAAGGCAGAGAACACCTTTGCTCAAGAGCCCAGGCCTGGAGCCCTGTGCACAGCACCTTCCTGCCTCACTCAGCATCCTCAACCTCACGCCCCTGTACTGACTGCCCCACAGACCTGTCACCTGCGACTACCAACCCTTTTCTAGCAGACTTCGCAGGGGCACCCCAGACCCAGCATTCTGCACCCCGCGCTGGCTCTTCCAGGAATCATGGGAAGTGAACTTGGCCCACATATTTGGCAAAGAGAAAGGTCAAGCTTCTCAGAGGCATTTCCAGGGAAAATTTCCAGGCTATTTTCAGACTTTCACAGCTTCAAACCAGATCGTTTGATTACTCAGAGTAATCCTGAATACATTTTGAACTTTTTCTAGCTATCAAGCTTCTTAAAGAGAGAATTTAATAGTGCTCCCTAGACTCTGAGACCCCCCTAACTAAACCACGTGTTCCTTGAGTTCGTGTTTTTTTGTTCGTGTTCCTGGCATGTAGTGGTGGGTAATCAATAAATGTTGAATAAATGAACAAATCAACCACCTAGTAAAGCATTTTTGCAAATCTTGGGTCACAGATAAAAGAGTTTAGCTTTTCTCAAGCTAAGTGCAGCAAGGATACATGTAATGCTAAGATCCATCAACTTTCTAATCCTCGGTTTGCTGCCCTACTGGGTTCTGGTCTGCTGTGAAATAATGGATTGGGTCTGTTTGTGCTTCTGAAGGCAGAAAGGGGCTGACATCCATCCCATAATTCCCAGGAAGACTTCCCCTACTGCACGACCTGAAAGAACCTGTCAAGCTCCCTTCTCAGCGGGTTCTTACGTGCTTTTATGAATCATTTAATAGGTGCGTCTCCTTAAACCCAGTTCAGAGCACCTTTCACAGTTCCCTTTGCCAAATTAGTCCCCAAATAAAAAGACACATCCCTGAGAAAGTGAAGCAATAAGTCAGCTTATTAGTCTGCCTCAAAACTTCACAACAGTGGCAGGAAAGCTTATGTTTCAAAAGCCGACTCCCATCCTCGCCCCCACATCCCCCCACTGCAATTTCAGCCCACTATATCTTGCTCTGTCCTGAGCAGGTCCCAGGAGCCCCAGAAAGGATGCTCACACACCTCATCTCACCAGCATGGAGCTGGAGCAAGTTTCCCTTTGGCGGGAAACTCCCTGCTTCTCACATGTCTCATTTGCAATCCTTTTACACGCATCACTCAGTCTTTAAGAGATTTTTCTCTTCACATACTGCCTATCCAGAAGGTTGAAGATTTATCACTGGCTGCCAAGTCACTGGAGAAGAGGGAAAAAGAGGGCTTAATTTTTAATTCTGCTCCCAGACTCTCCAGGAGGCTGACCATCTGCTGGCACAGAGGTTGGCCTCTGAGAGGTCACTCACCTGCAGCCTGTCCCGCTGCCTGGTGTGGGACATGAGAAGGACTTCAGTGGATGGCACATCTCTGGGCAGCTCTGTCGTGGCCAGGCAGTCCCCAAAGGTCTGGAGCATCTGGGCAGTGGTCTTCAATGTCAAGGCAAAGTTTTCAATGGCCTGGAAGGTCAGACAATCATAACAATGTGAAGAGATAAACATTCACCAATATGCTCTCTCAACAGGACAGGAGAACCAACTACCTCTTCCTCAGCACCCGCAATGGACCACACATTGTACTCTGTGCTATACGCTTGTCTATCATCTCAATAATCTGGAGTGGGAAGTATTTTATCTCTATTTTATAAAAGAAGGAATAGAAGCTCCAACAAGTCAAGTGAATTGCCCAAGATCATACAACTTGGGCCGTAAAGAAGGAAGGATTCAACCAAAGTCAGGTGCTTATAGTTCAGGGCTCTGTTCATTACCCCAAGAATACTTAACATTAAATCTGACTCAGGATTTCCACTAGGTGATATGCTGAAAAGGGCAGGACCAGCCACCCTTCCCTCTAATAAACCTTTCCTCCTCTTCTAGCCCCTGCGCTGCCCTGTATCCTGGCCCCTCCCCTCTCACACACAGCCTGGCTGCCTGACCCTCTGACAGGCTTGTCAAATGCTTCTGAGAGGATACGACATCAAGGGAAAAGATGGATGTAGCGATTAGGTCACTAACGACCTTCAGGAGAGTCACTTCTGTAACATGTGGGTAGGGGTTGGCAACCTCTTCCTCTCACTTCTCCTTTATAAAAATGTATTTGTCCTGTGTCCCTTCCACTAAGGACTCTACTTTGCCATTAAATGACTATCTGCTAGTGGGTGATTGACTTTGCAGGTGAGATACCCGCATTTTAGCACAGTGCTTTAAGAAATACATTGCCTAACCTTGGAAAAGTAACACTGACCATCAGAAGAGTTAGTTGAAGATGAGTGGCTTCTCAGAGTCCCACAAATCATTCCACTCAGCCGACTGGCATTGCCACACCCAATTCCCTCTGCTTCTTAGATAATTTTGCCCCTGAAGGGCAAACACAATGCCACATTTATCTCTGTTCCCCCGGGGCATGGTCTTGTGCCTGTCACACAGTAGGTGGCCCATAAACCGCTGCTGACTGGGTGAATGGTAGGAACAAAGAGACCCAACCTAATTTTCATTTAGGAAAAAGTTACTTCTGTTCCTATATCATCCAAAAATATTTCTGTAACCCCAAACCCACATCATATAGGATGTGCCAGATCTGAGATGGCCCTCCCTATGCCAGAGGCCAAGGCTGAGGTTGAAATGATAAGGCTTCTGGATCATGGCACATCCCCTCATATTGCCTGAACCCAAAGTTTTCTCTCCGTCAACCATTTTCGTACTTGAAGTATTGCTGTAGGTGGAATCTCCCCTATCAGCACAAGTATTTATACAGCCACAACCTTGAACATCATAGTACTTTTGGCCTGGAAAGTCAGACAAAGACTAACTGGTATGAAAATCTTTCTTTCAAGTACATTAAAATGTAATTACTTTCACATAATCTAACATCTGTATAAAATACTCTTTCAACTGCATTCAATAATAGCTTATGATGAATAACATATAAAAAATCCAATTTATCTGGGGAATTTTAATAGGAAAATATGAGATTATTAAGTATTTTGCTTTATATGCACCATCTCTTGTAATGCATCTCAATTAAGCATTATTCTTATCACCAACCCACATCTATAGATGAGGAAGCTGAGGCATATCGATGTTAAGTAATTACCCCAAAGTCATACACAAAATAAGTGCCTGAACTGGAATTGAACCTAGGTAATTTGGCTCTAGGACTGGCACTCTTAAGCACAAAGCTACACCACCTCTTGTCAGTCAAAACCAGATTTAACAAAACTAGATTTCAACCTAGATCAACAAAAGACCTTGGCCTTGAGAGTTGGAGATTTGAATTAGAGTCCAGATTCTGATCCTCTCTAACTGTGTGATCTTGGGTGAGCCATGTTTTGCCTTTGAGTCCCAGTGTCTTCGTTTGAAACAAAGGAATAATGCTTGCTCTGTTTTTGCAGGGTTTTTTTGAGGATCGAAGGAATAACAAATGTGAACAGATCTTGGGCACAGCAGAGTATCTTACAAGTGTAATAATAACAGCAATAATAGTAATAGCTAAGAGAATCAGCTGTGAGGCCTGCAGATGTCATCCCAGAAACAGAGGAAAGCAAGAGGTTTCCTGTGGAGGATCCTATGAACAATTTAACTTGATTCTCTATGTCTGACTAGAGAATAATCACCTTGGAAATGGCACAGAGGACCTGACCCTGATAGGATGATGAAAAGAGCTTGGCTTTAGTCTTGGTTCTGCCACTACTTGATCATATGACCTTAGATAAGTCACCTCTTTACTCTGAAGGTCAGTTTCCTTATCTGTAAAATAAGGTGATTGAAATAAATGATCTTTGAGGTTCTTTTCAGTTCTAACCTTTTACGAGTCTCAAAGATCTGACACCCTGAAAGCACACTGTTACCAAAAAAGGGGGGCATCTATGTATTCATAAGATATAAAATAATATGTATATGTGTATATATATTATATTATTATATTTCTAATTATATATGTGTGTATAAAATATATATATAAAACACACAACCGGCATGTAAAGAATACCTCCCATGTTTCAATAAATGGTATTTTTCAAAGTTCGCTATGTTTAACAATACACAAACAGAAACCACCGATACACACGAGGCCTGGGAGGATGTGTGTGCGTGTCTGTTCATGCCATGTCTTTAAAATAATCAGTCTTCACAAATTCAGTCTTGTTTACCTCTGTAAGATCTTAGAAAACTAAGATCTTTGAGGCCAAGATGCATTGTTTTTTATCTGTTGCAAATTTGTGTTATTTCAAAAAGGTCTGAGGCAACTTGAAAAACATGACCAATATAATAAAATAAAGGATTGGTAGAAAAATCAGATCAAAGGGGAGAGCTCACTAGCCCATTAAGGCTGAAGGGATAATACATTTTTTTGATTATTAAAGTAATGTAATGAAAATCTAGCAAGTGAAGAAATAAAACCTAGAGGCACTCAGGTTCCACATCTTATATGATCTAATGAAACTGCCACCTGGGACAACCCTCATCACACTCATGTATGACATTCTGCATCAGCTTCCCTCCATCTCTTTTATATTTAGGCTTATTTAGAATTATAAGTTTGTGAAGAACTTCACCATTCCTTTTTTTCTTCCTAATATTCTCTCAGAATCACCATTATTGTGGTCAAACTGATAAGAAGGTTAAAGGGTTCTTGCTCAAGTCATGGGCCTTCCTCTAGGTTTTGGGAAGGGATGTTCCTTCCTTGGAACTACATGGCGTATAAAGAAGTGAGGGAGGAATTAGAATCTGCAGGTTTGAAATAAATGCATTGTGTTGCTAGAAATCTATTTTTTTAATTCCTAAATTTTCTTTTAAAAAAATAATCATAAAAATTACACTCTAAAACAGGGTGAATTCTCCTACCTAATTAAATGTAGCTCAGGGGTTCAGTGGTAAATGTTGGCCAACATGTTTCCAAGGTGACCAGATACAGAGAGGGGTGCTCCACAAGGGACAACCACAAGTTGTCATCAGGGTGGTGAAGAAGGCTCCTGATCTTGCTCAGAAAACCCAATCTTTTCAAGGGCATAGGGGCTAGGAGAGCAGGGAAAGGGGAATGACAACTTTACAGAGAAACGCTTACTATTTGATGAGTTTCAATCTCACTTTTTCCTCCATATTACTGACCCTTCTAGTTTAGCATAATAACCACAAATATGAGTAAGGAGGAAAAAGCAGAATACTATATATCAGGTGCTTTTACAGACATTATATCACTTATTCCCCACATCAAAACTTCTAGGTACCTTTTGTTAGTCCAAGGTTTCTCATCATTGGCACTATTGACATTTTGGGCCAGATAGTTGTTTGTTGTAGGGGCTGTCTTGTGCCTTATAAGATGTTCAGCAGCATCCCTGGCTTCTACCCACTGGATGCCACTAATACTCCTCCCTTCACATTATGACTACAAAAAATGTCTGTCCAAAAGACATTTACAAATGTCCTCTGGCGAGTAAAACTGTCCCCAGCTGAGAACAACTGGGTCAGTCCCATTTTAACAGGAGAGGGAACAAGCTCAGAGAGGTTTAGTTCCTCATCCAAGGTCAGACAGCAAGTAATGGCCACAATATTTAAATGCAGCATCTTCTGACTTGGTGTCTGTACATTAGAGTCATCTGGGGAATTTTGTGAAACACTACTGTCTGAGACCCACCCCAGATCAAGTGAATTTATTTCTCTGAGGTATAGCGGGGTGTTGGTACCCTAAAAATTGCCCAGGGGCACTCTAAGTCAAGTCTCCCAAAGCACCCGTGCCAGAAGATGAGGTGAGGGGAAGGTAGTCAGCAGGAGGCACTCCATGCTTTACCTCCCACCCTATTACTCCCCAGACTATGGCTTAGAAAACCCAACCTTCCTGATGGTAGGCAGTCACGGAAATGACCACTCAATAGTTGATCTTTTAACTCCCCTGTCTACTGGAAAACAAGAGCCATTGAAAAGGGCCCAAAAGTTGGTACTGACGGTTCGATGATTCATCCACTGACTGTGGCGATATTCCAAGGTTCCCCCTAAGTCCTCTGTCAGCTGGCTTCTCTCAATGTAGCCATGAAGGTCAGACACAGAGTTCAACATAATGATCTATAAGAGAGAAAAACAGGTAAGGGAGCAGTAGCTCATCTGCATTCCACTGTCATTTAAACAGGACTCCAGCTTTGCCTGATCCGGCATTTATACCCCAAATGGTTACTCCATTCAGCAGAGAAACCTTTAAGCCCTTTCAATTTCCCCACCTTGAGGAAGTGTTGAACAGCCTGTGACAAAGGTGACTTGAGTCAGGGAGCTCAGTTCTAAGCCACCTGGAAGTCAGCGCCTACTTGAGGTGATTTTTTGTCAAAAGTTCCCAGGCTAAGGTATACTCTTTAGCCACCAAAATCAAGTGTTGCACTGAGACCTAGAAATCTGTGATGAGGAGCCCAGTAAAGGGTGGGCTGGTGAATACAAAAATAAAATTAGAATATGCAGACCCACTGAGGAGTATGTATTGAAAAGATTCCCTACACTGATGGACCTCCCACGAAGAATGTTGATGCGCCCCCACACTATCTGCATGGAGGAGATTTGCAGGTAATAGGGAGTAGGTTTTTATAACAAACATTCCTGCAGGTGAACACACCCATGCTGATGAATGAACACTCACCCATCTAGAAGGAGATGACACATTCCAAATTGCGCCTTTCCACTCCTCTGCAGTGGCCCTACCAGGGCGTGGTCCTGGCTGTCTGTCCCAGGGACAACGTCACACCCCCTACTCACCTCTAACCAGGAGCAAGGACTCCTCACTCCTCTCTCTCAAACCCATTCCCCTTGAAGCTTTTTTTTTTAAAAGATTTTATTTATTTCCTTTTTCTCCCCAAAGCCCCCCTGTACAGAGTTGTATATTTTTAGTTGTGGGTCCTTCTAGTTGTGGCATGTGGGATGCCGCCTCAGTGTGGCCTGACGAGTGGTGCCATGTTCGTGCCCAGCACAGCGCCCAGGATTCAAACCGGCGAAACCCTGGGCCACTGAAGCGGAGAGTACAAACTTAACCACTCAGCCACGGGGCCAGCCCCCTCCTTAAAGCTTTTAACTAATGACCTTGTATTTCTTCACTCCTTGGATGATTTTGAAAATTGATTCTTGGTCAGAGGACATAAGAATATAGGTTTTATTCTATTATTATATAGTACTAGTCAAGCGACAAGCCCACTTTGGAATGAAAAACATCTAAGTTAGGGCTCATAGTCTATAGGTGAAAAGAAAATTGATTTACTCATTCAGCAAATATGTACTGAACTTCTAATGAATGCCTGGCTCTGAGAAATAAAATGGTAAGCAGGACAGGCCCTGTCTTCAAAGAACTTAGGTCTAGCGGGATTTGATTACTACCTATCACTACATTAACCTCGTCAGGCCCCAGGCTTTTCTCCTTCCCTTCTGAAAAGGAGTTTGGGAATTTTAAAAATTATTTTCATAACATGAGAGAAAGAAAAAAACCCTGAATCCAACTATGCCTTTCTCTCCTAAAAATTTTAAACCACTCTTGGGAGTTTCAAAAAGATTTTTAGTCTTTCTAAAATTAGAAATTATATAGGACGGATAAGAAATTATCAAGTTAAAAATATATTTTGCTTCTCAGAACATTAGTTGCTACGGTAACATTTTCATCTTTTTTTAAAAAAATACCGATGTGCAACTTTGTGTTAGGCAGAAGTAAGTCTGCCCCACAGCCTGGAGCTGTGCAACCTCTCCTGCCAGGCTGCATGTCTTCTGTTCGACTTAACTGAACAGGAGATGGAGGCGTGTGCTCCCACTCTTATCCGGACTCTGCTTGCTCATCATTGGCTTTAGGGGATCTAGAGAAATTTTACACTGAAAGCTAAAAGTGAACATCAGAAATAAAAGGAAGATAGAAGACTCAATACTGTTAAGCATTGATTTGTAGATTCGAAGTAATCCTAATCAAAATCCGAGCAGAGTTTTCATAGAAACTGACAAGCTGATTCAAAAATTCAAATGGAAATGCTAAGTACATATAATAGATAAAATAATTTTGAAAAAGAATAAAGTCGGACGACTCACACTACCTGATTAAGACTTATTATAAGCTACAGGAATCAAAAGAGTGGTAATAACAAAGGATAGACAAATAGATCAATGGAACAGAATGGAGAGTCCTGAAATAGACTCACACAAATATGGTCAACTGATTTCTTTAACTTTTTATTTTGAAGTAATTATAGATACACAGGAAATCACAAAGATAGTACAGAGAGCTCCCATGTACCTTTCACCCGAACCCTGGCAAATGCTAATCTGACTTTTGACAAAGGTGTAAAGTCACTTCAATGCAGAAATCATTCCATTTTCAACAAATGGTGCTGAAACAACTGGGGATCCACATGCAAAAAAAGGAAACTTGACCTCACATTTATCTCAAAATTAACTCAAAATGGATCCCAGATCTAAATATAAAACATAAAACTTAGAGAAGAAAATATAAGAGAAAAATCTTAGGAGAAAAGTTTTTGGGTTAGGCAAAGAATTTTGACATACGACACCAAAAGCATAACTCGTAAAAGAAAAACTGAAAAACTAGATTTCACCCAAATGTAAAACATTTGCTCTGCAAAAGACAGTTAGGAGAATGAAGAGACAACCTGCAAACTAGGAGAAAATATTTACAAATTACGTATCTGGCAATGGACTCATATCCAGAATATATAAAGAACTCTCAAATCTCAACAATAAGGGGCCAGCCCAGTGGCTCGGCGGTTAAATTTGCACATTCTGCTGCAGTGGCCCGGGGTTCGCCTGTTCGGATCCCTGGTGTGGACCTACACATCGCTTGTCAAGCCATGCTGTGGCACGCATCCCACATATAAAGTAGAGGAAGACGGGCATGGGTGTTAGCTCAGGGCCACTCTTCCTCAGCAAAACCAGGAGGATTGGCAGCAAATGTTAGCTCAGGGCTAATCTTCCTCCAAAAAAAAAAACAAAAACAAAAACCGAAATCTCGACAATAAGAAAACAAATAATACTACTAAAAATGGACAAAGATTTGAACAGATGCTTCACCAAAGAAGATATACAGATGGAAAATAAGGACATGAAAAGAGGTTCATTCTCATTAGTTAGTAGTGAACTGCAAGTTAAAAACATAGTGAGATACCACAACATACATACAAGAATGGCTAAAAAAGAAAACACTGACCATTCCAAGAGAGCCAAGAATATGGAAGCAGCTGGAACTCTCATACATTGCTGGTGGGAATGCAAAGTAACAGAGCCACTCTGCAAAACCGTTTGGCAGTCTCTCATAAAGTTAAACACGTACTTACCATATGGCCCACAAGAAAACTATGCGACTGTTTATAAGAACGTATGTGAATGTTTATAGCAGATTTATTTTTAATCACTAAAAACTAGAAAACTCAGATGTCCTTCGCTGATGAATGGATAAATACACTCTGGTACATCTGTAACGTGGAATAATATTCAGCAATAAAAAGAAAGAACGATTGACACACACAACAACATGGATGAAATCCAAATGTTTTATGCTAAGTGACAGAAGGCAGACTCAAAAGGCTATTTAGTTTATGATTCCACTTATACGACTCTCTGGAAATGGCAAAACTATAGGGATGCCAGGGGTTAGGGCTGGGGAGAGAGGTTGACTACAAAGGAGCAGCATGAGGGGCTGGCCCAGTGGCGCAGCAGTTAAGTTTGCACGTTCCATTTCGGCGGCCAGGGGTTCGCTGGTTGGGAGCCCGGATGTGGACATGGCACCACTTGGCACGTCATGCTGTGGTAGGCGTCCCATATATAAAGTAGAGGAAGATGGGCACGGATGTTAGCTCAGGGCCAGGCTTCCTCAGCAAAAAGAGGAGGATTGGCAGTAGTTAGCTCAGGGCTGATCTTCCTCAAAAAAAAAAGGGCAGCATGAGGAAATTTTAGGGGGTGATGGAACTATTCTGTATCTTCACTGTAGTGGTGCTTAAATAACACCATGCATTTGTCAAAACTCATACACCTGTACACCAAAAGAGTGAATTTTATTGCATGTAAATTAAAAAATGAAGGAGAGGCAGCTCCACCATAAAATTTTTTTCCTCTTTTAATCTTTACAGCGTCAAGAGGAAAAAGAAAAAAGTTTTAAAATTCTACATAAGAAAGGGAAAAGCACAATGATTTTGCTCATCAAACTCACAGGACACTCTGAACATGTAAACCTGGCCTTAAAATAGTCGTTCTGTGTTTTCACAAATTCTGGATTTGTCTATTGGGCATCCTTTCATGATGGGGCCAATTATATTAACTATATTTTCTTATTTTCTATATTCCTCCTTGCTGGCATTTGTGGCCTCACCGACTGGGGAGAGACTGTTCCTCCCAGGGCCAGAGACAAAGAAAGGATTTAGGGATTTAAAAAAAAAAAGGGAGCACTTGTTTGATATGCAAACCATCCAGCGTCAAACCCATATTCCTCCACTCCATTCTGATCTCACTCTCACACAGCAAGCCAGCCTTGATCCTGTGCTAAATCATCCCAGGGTCAGTTACCAGGCAACTAACGACAACCCCCACACACCCAAAGCCAGTGGAATTATTCAAATTAGCCAAGCCTAAACTTTTTACCCTGCCCTGGTTCACTTTTCCTGTGGAAACCTCAACAAAGGCTCTGGCCCAGGCTTTTATCCTCCTGCTCCTGCCTCTGGGCCAAAACCTCATGCTTCCCCTGGGCCCCCACCCAACCTGGGACCCGTGAGTATAATAAACTTCTTCCTTCCAAGCCTCGTTCTCATTCCCTCCTGTGGCAGCGCTGACTCTACCACACCATGTCCGACATGCACATTCTTAGAACAGCTGCTATAGATTAACAATGTCATATTTTTTTCCTTTTCAGTATACATTTATGTTCTTATCTCTAGTTGCTTAAAGCTGTTCTTTCAAGGTGATATATGATCTTTTAATGATGAAAGAAGCATTTCCTATATTTGTCACAGATTGCATTTTAAGAACTTAATTTGCATAGCCTCTTTAGGGATTTTTGCCCCACTGCCTTAGCCACTTCACCTAACAATTTTGTGAGGCAGCTC